AGTGGCCAAGGGGGCGTACGTGTCACCGTCCACACAGACCGCGGTGTCACCAGAAGGCTCAACCCAGACCCCGACGTGCTGTCTCGCCAGGGGGCCCACACCAACCAGGTTCCTAGAGAACGTAGGAACGTGGAGGCCAGTCAGGGAACCGGAAGGAGCAGCTGGGCACGGGAGCGTAGTGGCGTGAGTCGCAATGACCGGTCCCGAAGAGGGATCGGCCAGTGCTACGGAGACTGGCGCCGGTAGTGAAGAGAGGGTCGTGCGGTCGCGAAAGAAGCCCTGCGTCGCTCCTGAGTCCAGTGTGAAAGAGAGAGAGGCGTCCGCCGAGGGAGTACCTGTACTAGTAGCTAAGCAAGATCCTACACTAGCACCTACTCTAGCAACAGGCAAAGATCCTAAGCTAGGTACAGGCAAGTACACAGATCCAGGAGCACTATAGTCAACATCAGCATACATGGCATAGGACCTAGCATCATCCATAGTCATATCAAAAACAGCAATACCACGAGCAAGAAGCGTCCCCCAGCGTGGTGGCGGGGGAGCGGAGGGGCCGTGGTGCAAACGGTAGAGGTCGTCGAGACGACTGAAGCAGCGTGCAGCAGAGTGGTCGGGGCGGCCACAGTACGAGTCCCTACGAAGACTTGTAAGGATCCAGTACTCACAGGGACCAACGTCGCGGCCGGCCGAGCGAGGCCCCCGACTAGAGGAGGCACCACTGCGCCCAGTGCTCGGGGGACCAGCAGACCTCCACTGCTGCTGAGGGCCCCACTGCTGCGGCGGGCCCCACTGCTGCGGCTGCTGCTGTGGCGGGCGCTGCTGCTGCTGTCCCTGCCGCTGCTGCTGTCCAGGCGGTGGCAGCTGCTGAGAAGTCGGCTGCTGCTGCTGCTGCTGGAACCCCGCACCACCAGTGAGAACTCCACCGTCAAGAGGAGGGCCGTCAGGGCCCGAGCCACCCCCAGCACTACTCCCACCACCTGCCCCACCACCGCCGCCACTACCCGCACCACCCCCAGTACCCCCGCCGCCCTTGTCAAGATAGTTAGGCAAAATGAGAAACAGGAAAGAGGGGTTTGGACTAGCAGCAGTTGAGATACAAATAGCAAACCCTAGATTGGGCTGTACTCGCTATAGAGTACCCCACTGCAGGCTAGACAAATACAACATTCTGACATACCCCCATAGCCAAAGTGGGGTGTAATCAGCAGTACAACCAAAGCAGTACAAGCTCAGGGTGGATCACAATGTCACCACACATTCTGAGCACAAGTTCAAGAAGCAATAGTTTAAAGTTCACAATTATGAGCAAAGCTAGTGGTAGTCACAACGGGCAAGTGAGGAGGAGGAAAGAGACTATGAGAGGAGAGGAGGTAGTGGGCGGCAGCTGAAGCTGCTGGCACACGGCGCAACTGGAGCAACTGGCACACGGGCAACTGGAGCAACTGGCACACTGGCAACTGGAGCAACTGGCACACGGGCTACTGGAGTAACTGGCTCCGCGGCTGAAAGTAGCGGCAGACGAGCAACGGACTCACGGGCGACTGGAGCAACGGGCTCACGGGCGACTGGCGCAACGGGCTCACGGGCGACTGGCGCAACGGTCTCACGGGCGACTGGAGCTGCTGGCTTCACGGCGGCCACCCCCTTCAACCTCCCCAAACTATCCCACTCCCCCTGACACACACCCGCTGCTACACCGCTAGCTCCACTCCCCCTTCACCCCCCCTTAGTACCACTCCGACGGCTCCAACAGGTCCACCCCCCTCAGCGGCAGCTGCAGCACAGGGAGACGGAGGAGGAGGAGGAGCAGGGAACGGCACACAGAAGCTGCACCCCCATACCCCCCACCCCCAAACCCTAATCCAGGAGTACGGGCAGAAGGAGGGGTGGGGCGCCTTCAGAAGCACGGGGGACAGCGGGGAGGACACGGGCAGTGAAGAACGGGCCGCCCACGGGTCTGGCACAGCCTCCCGAACCGCGCGCAGGCGGCCCGAGCCGCGCGCGGGCCTGGCGCAGCCCGTACGGGCCGCGCGCGGGCCTGGCGCAGCCCGTACGGGCCGCACGCGGGCCCTACGCAGGTCGCGCGGGCCACGACGGGCGACGGGGGGCGACGCGCGGGTCCCCGTCGCCCGTCGCAGCGCCTCCCGGGGGCGACGCGCGGAGTGACGGGGCAGAAAGCCGCCGCGCGCCTCGGGGCGCACGGCGGGCAGAAAACCGCCGCGCGCCTCGGGGCGCACGGCGGGCAGAAAACCGCCGCACGCTCCGAGCGCGCGGCGGGATGAAAAATCCGTCGCACGCCACGGGGCGTGCAACACACAGAGTAGCAGTAGCAGCGGAAGCAGTGAGGTGGTGGGCCCACCCACAGGATCGACCCAGGAGGGTCGACCTGCTCTGATAGCATGTCAAGATAGTTAGGCAAAACGAGAAACAGGAAAGAGGGGTTTGGACTAGCAGCAGTTGAGATACAAATAGCAAACCCTAGATTGGGCTGTACTCGCTATAGAGTACCCCACTGCAGGCTAGACAAATACAACATTCTGACAGCCCTTCCCGCCCTTCTTGCCGGCCTTGCCACGTTTCTGTCCGCCAGAGACAGAAACAGCCGCCGTCTCCTCAGAGGAAGAAGACGTGGGGGTGGCAAGTGAGGCAGTGAAGGTGGGAAGCTGTGGTACCGCACACCCCTCAAAGAGACGAGGAGGAGGCGCGGAAGAGGCAGAGGCAACAGCGAGGAGGTTACTCTCGATCTTCGAGAGAGCGGTCTCAAGAAGATCGATGGTGAGCTCAGTGGGGTGCTTCAGAAGAAGCGCGTCGCGGGCTGTGGCTAGGCGGTCAGGGAGTCGAGTGACTAGCCAGTGAATAGTGAGCCACATAGGGGGCGGGGCAAGGGCAAGCTGGTCCTCAGTGCAAGCAGCGCGAAAGCGAGCGTCAAGAGAGCGCAGGTGGGTAGCGAGGTCAGAGACAGTCTCAAAGGAGGCGAGGTCAGGGTAGATAAAGGGTACGAGGAGGCGACTGAGCGAAGCAGAGGAGGGTGTGGAGTAGCGAGCAACAATAGCCTTATACAGATCTGCAGCAGACTCGACCTGAGCGAAGTGGACTGCCTCTGTCGGCGGGAGAAGGTCGGTCAGGGCGAGGCAGGCAGCGGCGTCACGAGACTCCCACACGTCACGAGCGAGGAGCTGGCGCTGGTACTCGGCCTCTAGCTCAGGAGCAGGCGGTGGGGTAGTGGGCAGCGGCCGAGGCTGCAGAGGGGCGGTCTGAGCGCCGGACGCGTGTGCGAACAGGTGCACGCCATCCTGCCGCTGGCTCTTAAGGTGGCGCTGCGCCTGCGTAAGCCACGTACTAAAGTCAATCGGTCTCCCCTCAGGGTCAAAGCGAAGTACTCGGGAGGTCGCCATAGGGGGCGAAAGTGAGAGAGCGCAGCCGCGGGAGGGGGAGACCGTCAGTAGCGTGTAGGCGTGCAGGCGGGCAGGCGGCGCGGCATGGGGACAGGCAGGCAGCGCAACGCGCTAGTTGGCAGGCGGCGCGGCGCGTTGGCTGGCGGGCGGCGCGGTGAGAAGGGGCGGGGAGGAGGGCGCGACGGTAGGAAAGGGGCGGGGAGGAGGGCGCAACGGTAGGAAAGGGGCGGGGAGGAGGGCGCGCGACGGTAGGAAAGGGCGGGGAGGAGGGGGGCGCGACGGTAGGAAGGGCGGGGAGGAGGCGCGACAGTAGGAAAGGGGCGGGGAGGAGGTGGGCGACGGGATTGGGAGGGGAGAGGGCGACGCGCGGGGCTGCGGGGCGGCTAAGCGTGCGGCGCGCGGGCGCAGCGGGCTGCGGCGCGACGCGACGAGCAGCGCGCGGGGGTCTGCGGGGCTGCGGGGCGACGCGACGAGCAGCGCGCGCGGGGCAGAGCGGGCAGGGCAGCGCCCGCGAAAAAAAAAAAAAAAAAAAACGGGAAAAAAAAAGCGCGCTGCAGCTGCAGCTGTGGCAGTGCGACTCGTAGGAGGGCAGGGCGGGCACAGGGTAACGCAGTAACCGGAGGCGATTTTAAGGTGGGCCCTAAAGGAGGTAGGTTTAAGGTCCTAAGGACCTCTAGCTCTATACCATTAGAGGTCCTAACAGCACTGTTAATCTGCCTAACCTTGCGCCAGTTGATCCACATTAGCAACTTAAGCCTTGGTGTTATCATTCTCGTCATCTCGCCCAAGCCATTTGGCACATGGTGGACCGGTACACTGAACACAGATAAAATAACGTTTTGCACAAACGGCTGAGCACTTGGGCACATTTTAACATGATGCCAGCACAAACAACTGCAGCCAAAACAGCAAAAGCACTAACTCGCTTATTGCGTGCCATCCACTGCAGCGGTGGCATCAGCGGTTGCTGCAGGTGGAGGCACATGATGAGCCTGGCGATTCCACGAAAGGTATGAGGTATCTCCCAATGGCCTGCACACACACGCACACATGACACGTCATTTTTCCAGTGCAAATTGCAAATGACTACACCAGCCTGGCAAAGTGAGGTCTGAAGGAACTTTGTATGAGCATATGTCGTAAAGGGGGGGTTTGCAACCCCCAAAAAACTACCACATGACTTTGTATGAGTTACGTGCCAAGCCTCGCCTCACAAAGGAGGCTGTGCTTGCGACACCTACAAACTACCACATGACTTATGAGGAATGCATGAAATTTGAATGTTAATGAGCTGTAGTCATGGAAAGTCACGTTTGCTGTACGATTCAAGTCTGTGCACTGAGGTTTTTTTCACATGCAAAAAAAGAGCTTGCTGTTGTTTGTCTTTCGGCCTGGTTCAGGCGCGTTCATTCGAGCCGCTCACGATGAATCAAGACTGTGTGCGCCTTGCACAATTGAAGGGCGACTTCACAGGATTCGCGGCAGCCAGTTACGAACACAAAGTTTCATGTTTGCGGTTCATGTTTGTGACGCCTGGCACTCTATACCAGAAATAGGCATCACAAACGTTTACGATCCCTCCTACCCTGACGCCTGGCCGTGGAATGCTCACTTGGAGACAAAAGCCTAAACGAGTTTCCAATACATACCTTGGATTTGTGAAGAGGAGGACGAAGAAGAGGAGGCCGAGGAGGAAGCAGAGGCCTCCCACTGTGAGGTAGGCGAGGCCCAGGAAGCCATTGGCGCCGCCCAGCCAGCTGGCGGTGGAGAGGACGAGGGCCTTCTGGCCGCCATACTGGTAGGAGTTGTAGTTGTTCTGTAGCACCACAGCCAGCGTGCTGCCCGCCTCCAGCGGCGTGTTGATGCGCCCATACAGCTTGCGGAACGTGGGCAGCGCTGCCGTGCGCATCCACACCATCAGATTCTGCGACTGATTCAGCTGCACTCCCAGGGACCAAACGGAGGAAAGGGACACAAGCCTTATGAGGACATCACACTCGCTCCAAATACTAGCCCGTGCTACCACTGCCATGGATGTTACCAAGCACGTGTAACCCACATCCATGCATGTTCATGCACCATGCGTGTGCGGTGCCACCCCAAGCAAGCTTACGAGTGTGTTGAGCTGCGCCCCGCCGCGCAGGTCGGCAACGGTGTTGAAGTTCTCCGGGGGCACGCCAGCGAACTTGCCGCTCTGGTCGCTGGGCCACGCGATGTTGCTGCTGTCGATGGCCAGCTGCTGCCCGCTGCTAGCGTCCGTGATGGCGTACGAGTCGTTGAACAGCGACCACGCCACCAGCCCGCACGGCCGGATGGGCGACGATGTGTTGTCCCACAGGTACGCCTCGGGCTGGCACACGTCAAAGTCGCTGCCGCTGATGTTGGTGCCCCGCAGCTGGCTGTCACTGCGGCTCTTCACGTACCTGCTCCGCCCCATGCAACAGCACCGCCCCATGCAACAGCACCGCCCCATGCAACAGCACCGCCCAGCAGTAGGAGAGCAGGGGAGTAGAGAGGGCCTTGTGGGCATGAGGTAGGGGAGGCATGAACCGGGGACAACTGCCCACAACTGAGATAAGCTCGCTTGGAGAAAGCTTCAGTGCATAGTGGCAGCGCAGCTTGACGGGTGCGCCACCAGAGAGCTACTCGTTGAAGAACGAGATCATGGCACGGCATGAGGGCAGGCGGGAGAGCGCATCGCGTACCGGCGGTGGTTCTGGTAAAAGTTGGTGAGCTGGTAGTACACGAACACTGGCGGCTGCATGCGCTTCGGCACCTGCACGGGGGGCGAACACGCGCGTGACGGGCGGATCAAGCAGAGCGCGCAACGATTGGGGATAAATGAGGTCACGAACGATCAGTTCAAACGGTGAGCGATTGGAACGAGGTGAGAGAGTGAGAAAAAGGGGTGAGTAGAGGGCGAGCGGAAGAAGGGGCGAGGCGACTGACGGTGATCTGGATGTCGCACTTCTTGGGGATAGACGCGTCCTGAATGTACGCCACGCCGTCCTTGCCGGCCGGCACGCAGCGGTCGTCGTAGCGCTGCACCACCTCCACCACCTGCGGGACGGCACGCGCACGCGCACGCACACACATGTCATACAGGGAGCGCACAGGCAGTAAGTAAGCTGGCGCGCATGCGGGCGGCAAGGCGCACACGAGCGTTGATACAACGCAACAAGAACTTCATCCCGTGCGCTGACAGGCCGTTAGACGCAACGAGCGACCTACGCTGTTAGACGCCACGCGCGACCTACGCTGTTAGACGCCACGCGCGACCTACGCTGTTAGACGCCACGCGCGACCTACGCTGTTAGACGCCATGAGAGCGACGACTCCGATGGGGATGAAGGCGGCGCCGACAAGGAAGAGCGTCGCGATCACCTGCCACACGCAGAGACAGGCGGGTGACGAGGGGCGGGAAAGCGGCAGGGGAGCGAGGTTTGGGCTCGATTGACAAGAGGTGCGGAGCAGAGAGCGTAAGGGGAAGGAGAAATGGGAGGTGGACAGAGGAGGAGCGCATGGGATGGCTTCGGACGGTGGTTCAAAGAGCAAAAGGGCGACTCGAACATCACAGGATACGCGGCCAAGAGGCAGTGACAGACCACCGACGCGCAAAAACAATATATAGATAGATGACTTGATTGTGATCCTCTCGCAGGTGGGAATCACGACGCTTGCGTGGAACTGACCCATGCTGGCGTCAGCAGCGGCTTGCACGCCGGCAGCTCCTGCTGCGTGAAACGCGAGTCTGGACGCATGAATGGGAACACGGATCAGGATTACAATGCGGTGTATCAACAGCTGCATGAGAATAACAAGTGGAAAAAGAAACGGCGTGAGAAGCAAACACGGATGGCCGGAGTGATAAATATACGAATCCGGAATCGATAGGTGAGTGACCGAGCAGTCGAGATGGAAATTAGCTCGCAAAATCGAGTGGAGCTCACACTTAGGCTTCTTGGACTCCTTCTTAGGGTTCCCAGCTGCTGCTGCCATCGCGGTAATTTTGTTACTTGATGCTAGGGATCGGCTAGGGTCGTCGATGCTTCTGATACTAAGCAAAGTCGCGGGTAATCGAAGAACGTGGTCGGCGCTATGTTTGAATTGAAGGTTAGAATGATGTAAGCCTGCCTAGAAACCTCCTACCGCGCGAGTCACGCGCACTAGTGGGATTCGTGGCTTGTTTGTGCCTCCCTCCGTCGTCCACCGTCAGTCGCAAGCTACATCACGGCGGTCAACGGTGAACCCCGTTGGCCCAGAATGGTGCGAATGGGAGGGATGGGGGAAGAAGGGAGTTGGGGGGAAAAGGGGAAGAATTTGTGGAAAGGGGTAGCGGAAGCAGGCTGCGTGATTCGTGGATTGCGGGCATGTCTTGATGGTCGGCTATGCGGAAAACTGCTCCAAGCGAGGAAGGCCTGGTCTGGTTTCTTCCGCTGCCTGCGGTGAGTGGGCGTGACGCAAGGTGCTGTCAGACCAAAATTATTGTTCCCCGCCATGTTTATATCAAGGATTTTTGTTTCGTTATTGTTATTGTTCCCCACCGCACTACTCATCCCAAAGCCATCTTGTCAACGAGCAAATACAAAAAGTTGAAAGCAACGGGATTGCCGCGACTTTCTCGAACTTTCACCCACCGCCTCGGCTTTGGGATGGGCATGCTTCCGTCAGCAGTTCACTCAAGAACAGATTCCACAGCAAAAGTGGATAGCTCATTCGCAGCATTTGTATGTCGTTCTGCTGACACTGCATCAATGGCCATAATCCAAGATCCTTGTTATTGCAGGCCGTATTAGAATACTGATCAGTACCTGCATCTATCAGCATCGTGATCGCAGCGTTTAGTCAATAGTCATGTCGTCAATCTACAAGGCATTCGACCGTACGGTTCGAGACCTGTACGTTTCCTTTTTTGTGCTACTTCGCGCCATTGTCCGAAGCGGAGCCTTCACGCCGTTCCTCTGAGTTTCTCGCTGTTGAACAACCTTCTTGCTTTCCTGATCTGCTTCGATCGTGCTAATCTGTTACCATTCGTCTCTGTGGTTTGCTGGTGCAGCAAGCGTGAGGTCAACAAGAATGTGCTCAAGGTGCCTGATGCCGAGCGCAAGGTGAGATGCCTTTCGTCCCCTCATTCATTGTTGCGCTTTCCGAACTGCGTAGCGATGCGAGTTTTTAATTTGTAGCGAGTTGCTTCTTGATGCGACCCACCTTCCAACATCTAGATTTCACCATTCCGATTATCCTCTGTGCATCAGCCTCTGAGATTCGGAACTACCGTTAACGGAACGATTTCGTTGTTGCACTGACACGGTGAATTCCTTTCATGATTTTGGATGCTCGTGGGTGTGCGTCTTGCGTGTGCGTGTTCGTTTGCGTGCACATGAGTGTACATATGCTCATGAGTGTGTGTGCACGTGCGCGTGCGCGTGTCCGACTGTCCGTGCGCGTGTGTGTATGCGTGTGTGCTTGCGACTGTTCGTGCGCGTGTGCGTGAGCGTGTGTCGCGTGTGCCTGTGCCTGTGCCTGTCTCTCAGGCGCTGGACGCGACGACCAACGAGCCGTGGGGGCCTCACGGCCAGCTGCTCGTGGACCTCGCGCGGGCGTCGCACAACCCGTACGGCCCGCTCCCTTCGCAGCGCCGCGAATCTTGCATTCAACTCGTTTTTCTGGCTAGTTCAGCTTAGTCTATGCCATTTAAACTCCACTGTCGTAACCGCCAGCACACTGATCGTTCTCGTGGGAGCATCCCGCTTGCGTGCAGTTCGTTGTGTCACGTCAGTTCCCTTGCGTTTCCGCTCATCTCTCATGACTGTGCGCGGTGCAGGATCGAGTACTCCTTGGTCATGAACGTACTGTGGAAGCGCTGCCAGGATGTTGGCAAGGACTGGCGCCACGTGTACAAGGTGAGTCCACGTGTGCAGAGCGAGCCGACGATTTTTACAAAGGATTTGAGCAATGGTGGCATAGAAGTTATTCTCGGTAATGCTCTCCACGCGTATGAGGCGAGAGTGCTTGCTAATTGGAGTCGTCGACTTCTGCTCGTGCTCAAAGCACAAGGATGTTGTAACATTCCTTCGTTATGGGCTTGGTAGGAGGTCGCTTTCGGTTGAATGGCATTCACTGGCAGTGATGTGTGTGCTCCGCTTGTCCTCTTGTACGTTGTGTCCCTACCCCATATCCTCGTTCGTGTTGTGGTGTCATGGTGCGGGGTGCGAGGGCAGTCGCTGGTGGTGATGGAGTATCTGGTGGCGCATGGCACAGAGCGCGTTGTCAGAGACCTCCGCGACCGTTCTGCCTTCATCCAGGTGCCTTCTTTCCGCATGCTATTGCCTGCTCATTCTGCTATTGCCTGCTCATTCTTCTGTTGTTACTCACTGTGATTGCTCGGTCAAACTGAAGGCTAGGTGTAGCTTTTCCTTACTTGTGTAATGTGGTTGTGCTATGACGATCAGTAAACTCCTCTTCTTCGTGTCACCCATCCCCCTGTGGCCTGCGCGTTCAGAGTCTGGGCGATTTCCAGTACATAGACAGCGCGGGCAAGGACCAGGGCCTCAACGTGCGCACCAAGGCGCAGGCGCTGCTCGCCCTGCTGCGCGACTCCGCTCGCATTGCTGAGCTCAGGGACCGTGCTGCTGCCACCCGTAACAGGTGCGTGCTGCTCTGCTGCCACCCGCAACAGGTGCGTGCTGCTCTGCTGCCACCTGCAACAGGTGCGTGCTGCTCTGCTGCCACCCGCAACAGGTGCGTGCTGCTCTGCTGCCACCCGCAACAGGTGCGTGCTGCTCTGCTGCCACCCGCAACAGGTGCGTGCTGCTCTGCTGCCACCCGCAACAGGTGCGTGCTGCTCTGCTGCCACCCGCAACAGGTGCGTGCTGCTCTGCTGCCACCCGCAACAGGTGCGTGCTGCTCTGCTGCCACCCGCAACAGGTGCGTGCTGCTCTGCTGCCACCCGCAACAGGTGCAGTCACACAGAGATTCTTGACTTGGCATGCTATGCTAAGTTCCAAATGACCTCCTCGCCCCTCTCAACCACTCTTGACCGTTCCACCAGGTTCAAGGGCGCGTCAGCAGCGGGCACGGGGCGGGCATCGAACCCGTATGGCGACTACGAGCCCGAGAGGCAGTCCAGGGACTCGCACCCCACGGCCAGCTACGGCAGCAACAGCTGCGCGGGCGAGGCCAGGAGTGTGTACAGCACGGGGTCAGCAGAGCGGGTGCACTCCACAGGCAGCGCACACAGTGGTGACGGCGAGAGGCCCAGCGGGTACACAGGCAAGGAGAGGTACAGTGGTGAGGAGGACGTGGAGCACAGCAGCACGGGGGGCGGTGGGGCGAGGGCGAGCGGTCACGAGGGAGGAGGTGCGGCTGGCAGCAGGGTGGCAGGCAGCAGTGCTGCCGGGGAGGGTGTGGCAGCGGTGCAGGTGGGGGGCGGGGGGGGTGGTGGGGCCGGTGGGGGCACGCCACAGAGTGCGCCCAGGCCTGCTGCTGTGGCCAGCACTGCAGCAGCCAGCGCCAGTCCGTTTGAAGAGGAAGGCTTCTCTGCAAGGTAGGCGTCTCCCGTCAAGTGTGTTCATTCTCCATCTGTTCATCATCACCATATGCACGTTTCCCTCCTCGGCGTCAAGCATCCCATGGCCGCGTTGCACATCACTGTCTGGGGGCCTGTAACTTGCTCGCCATACTAACTCGCCCTTTCCCTCCTTTTCTCCTCTGGAATCACCCACAGCAGCGCCTACGGCCCAGGCCCAACACAGCCCTACACCTACCCGCCCTCCGATGCGCCTCCGGCTGCTGCAGCCGCTGCTGCAGTTGCTGCGGCGCCTGCAGCGGTGGCGTCCGGTGGGGGCGGCGGGGGCTTTGACGATGACGACTTTGACCCGCGCTCCGCAGCGCAGCAGCCAGCGCCGCAGCACTGGCAGCCCGCACCTGCTGCAGCCGCTGGAGGTACACACGCACTCGCCCCTTTGGACTCACTTCCGTCTGATCTTCGTCGTATTCTGCATGTCCTCCCATCGATTTTCAGTTTTCCTCTTTCTTACTCTGCCTGTCACCCCACGCTTTCAAATCTCTCTTCGAACCTCACCAGGTGTTTCTTTCGTTCCTCCCTCTCTGTCGCCCCCCTCATCCCCCTTTGCCCCCCTCATGCCCCTTTTCCTTCAGCGCCCCCTGCTTTTGGGGATTCGTCCTTCCCAGCCACGTTCTCACAGCAACCGCAGCAGGCGCAGCAACCAGGGCACTATCAGCAGCCACCTCAGCAGTATCAGCAGCCACTTCAGCAGTATCAGCAACCACCTCAGCAGTACCAGCAGCCACCTCAGCAATATCAACAACCACCTCAGCAATATCAGCAGTCACCTCAGCAGTATCAGCAGTCACCTCAACAATACCAGCAGCCACCTCAGCAATACCAGCAGCCACCTCAGCAATACCAGCAGCCACCTCAGCAATACCAGCAGCCGCCTCCGCAGTATGACCAGCCTCCTCCACAATACCAGCAGCCACAGCAGCAGCAGCAGCAGCAGCAGCAGCAGCAGCAGCAGCAGCAGCAGCAGCAACCAGCAGCGGCTCCCACCAGCCCCCCAGCTGGTGCTGCAGCAGCAACGGCCTCTCAGGAGGGCTTCCAAGCTTTCCCACCTGATGCCCCTCCTCCCTACTCCTTCTCCTCCGAGCAGCCCCCACAGCCGCAGCAGCAACAGCAGCAGCAGCAGCGGCAGCAGCTGGCAGCATCTGGCTACACAGACCCCTCCCAGCCTGCTGCACCCGCACCAGCTGCTCCGTATGCTTTCTCTGCCTCAGACACTGCACCCACCCCCGCTGCCGCTCCCCCTCATCCCACTGCCCATCACCCTGCTCCCCCTGCCTCCGTGGCTGCACCTGCTTCTGCTGCCCCCCCTGCTGCTGGCACCAGTGATAGCGGTGCCGTAGGAGGAGAGGGCAAGTCCAGTGCGAGTGGGGGGGCGGGTGCGGGAGTGAAGAAGTCGAGTGTGTTCTCAGACGTGCTCAGTGCCGGCCTCGTGGACCTCAACATCTCCAAAGGTATGCCTTTCATTAGTCGGGGCATCATGACACCTCAGGTAAACCCTTGCATGCGTGTACAATGTGCTTATGATGCAATATGCACATACAGCACGCCCGTGTACTGCGAGTGCATGGCTGCTGCTGCTGCTGCTGGGTGTTGCATGGCACATGGCAGGGGTAAGGGTGCCTGCCGTGAGTGTGCAGCAGCAAGTCATACAAGGTGCAGCTGCAGTATGCGTGCCTTCACACTGTGCTGACTGGCTCTCACTCTCTCCATCCATCAAGCCGCATTTCTGTCCTTGCTTTTAAATGCATCCCACTCGCCCTTCTCTCATGCGTCATCCCCTCTCCTGTCAGCTTCCGCTCTTCCTTGCTCTGCGATTTTTTTAAACCCCCATCTCCCTTCCTCCCATCCGCCACTCACTCCCCCGGTCCTCCGCCCCCCTGCCCATCGCGTGCACATGGCGCATCAGAGCCGGACGACCCTTTGAGCTCGGTGGGTGTGATGCCCAAGTCGAAGCTGCGGTCGGCGCGTGAGCGCAAGGAGGACGCCACTCGCCAGCAGCACCAGCAGCAGCAGCACCTGGGCCTGGGGCAGGGGCAGGGGCAGCAGGGGGGTGTGCCCGCTACCATGGGCCGTGCCATGGGGCCTGGCACTGGTGCTGGTGCCGGTGGCATGGGTGTGGGGGCAGGCATGGGGGGCATGGGAGGCATGGAGGGAATGGGAGGCATGGGAGGCATGGGTGGTGGGATGGGAATGGGAGGAGGAATGGGGGGGATGGGTGGAATGGGTGCCATGGGCAGTGGTGGTGGTGGTGGCTATGGTATGCAGGGTGGTGGGTACGGGGGAATGGGGATGGGTGCTGGGGGGATGGGAGCGATGGGAGGGGGCATGGCAGGAAACATGGGCATGGGAATGGGAGGTGGTGGATATCCAAATCCTCAAGGTGGCTATCCGACAGGTGCCGGTAACTACCAGCAGCCTAGTTACCAGCAAGGCAATTATGGTGCTGCAAATTATCATCAAGGCGGTGGTTACGGCTATTGACTACAGGGTCCCTCCACTCACTTCAGACAGAGACTCTTGGTTAGTCAGGTATTTGTGCCCTCATAAAGTTTATGAAGATATACAGTAATTGTGTTGTATGCGCTAGCTGGAAATGATCCAAGGAAAACAAGATTATTTACACCTCTCATCCCTATGGCTCCGCCTCAAGTTGGAATTGTATGCAATTCAATGCAATCCAGTAAAAATGTAGATTGCTATCAAGAAAACTCGTGACGCACAGGCATTGGTTATTAAGTTGTAAGAAGAAGAGCGCGCAGAATGCAATGTCGCGGAAGTGATTACAACTACTGGCAGAATAATGAGACCTAGCACAGATATAGCGAAGGCTAGTGTCAAGATAGGGACGTATGAGTTTAGGAGGGCCTAGGCTTAGGAGCCTAGGCCAAGGGGTGTCGAGGGAGTTGTATCAAGAGGGTTACGAGAAAGAAGAAGGGGTTTCACTATAGCACACAAGGTACATATAGCAAAGCAACAAAGAAGGTGCACCACCAACTCTTAATAATAATAACTACAGTAACTACAGCACGCAGGGTATATATTGAACATATTGTTTGACACACCCCCTTAGCCTGCGTGCAGTAGAAACTGGTGCAGCCAGCACCCCCTGAACGAGCAAACCAAGCGCTGTGGAAGAAGGCAGAGAAGTGAGGAAGGTGAGAGGAGAGGAGAGAAGAGGAGAGGAGAGGAGAGGAGAGGAGAGGAGGTGGGGGGCCAGGACCGGCGGACCCGCTTACGAACCTCCTTTTACAAAGGGGAGGTGAGAGAGGGAAGGGAGAGGAGGTGGGCTAGGCGGGCTTGAGCGCGAAAGCTCATAGCGATCCCCCCCCGTTAAGAACCCCCAAGTCCCGATGAGGAGAGGAGGTGGGCTAGGCGGGCATGAGCGCGCACGCTCAATGCGATCCCCCCCCGTTAAGAACCCCTTAGTCCTCACCCCCCTCGTCACTCAACCCCGTCAACCTCACACCTTCCGCACCTGTCTTCTCCCGCCACCCCCTCACCCTTCTGCACTTCTCTCCCCCCCCCCCCCTACAGCAACAGTTGCTGCAGGGAGAGAGGAAGAGGGAAGGGAGGGAGGAGTGGCAGGCTCCTCACACCCGCCCCCCCTCCCCACAACCCCTTCCCCCTCCCTCCCCCCTCCCCACGACGGAAGCCGCGGAAGGGAGGGCGGGGGGGGGGGGGGGGGGCGGCGGTAGCTGCTGCTGGCGCTGGCGGCTGGCCGCGGCGCTGGCCTCCGCGCTGGCGGATTGCGGGGTGACGGGGGCGACGAAACGGGGGCCGCGTGGCGACGAAATGGGGGCCGCGTGGCGACGAAACGGGGGGGCAGCGGGCGACGGGCAGGGCGTCCGCGGGGCAGCCGACGGGGCGTCCGCGAGGCAGCCGACGTGGCACGTTCGGGGGGACGGGCAGGGCGCGCGTGACGGGCGAACGGGGAGAAAAAATAGCGCATTTCGCGCTGTAGTACGGGCGGGCCCATGATTCTTAAAAAAAAAAGAGAAGGTTCCGGGAAAGAACCAGCTCTGTACCATGTCAAGATAGGGACGTATGAGTTTAGGAGGGCCTAGGCTTAGGAGCCTAGGCCAAGGGGTGTCGAGGGAGTTGTGTCAAGAGGGTTACGAGAAAGAAGAAGGGGTTTCACTATAGCACACAAGGTACATATAGCAAAGCAACAAAGAAGGTGCACCACCAACTCTTAATAATAATAACTACAGTAACTACAGCACGCAGGGTATATATTGAACATATTGTTTGACAGCTAGGTAGGCCGAGGCCGCGAAACCAAGGCTGGGTGCACGTTTTGGGGTTGGGAAACCCGAAGGCGACGCGAGGGACGTTCGGAAGGCGAGGTCGTCGGGCCGAGGCTGAACTCCAAAAGTTTGAGTTGTACGCGTATGAAGTGCCTTAGAAATAAGGCAAAATTCCTTGCATATTGGCTCGATAATTTGGCAAATTTTGTTGTTGCAGCTAGAAACAGGTAATTCCCTTATAGCCTTTCTCGGTATATCGGCAGCTTTCTGTCAACTCCGATTACAGTATTTCCGCCTTGGGTTTCGGCCTTACGTCATTCATTCCGAACGTTGTTGGACTCGCGTATCCACCCGCGGGGTCCGATAAACAGTGGTTGGGGTTATGTGTGTTGGGGGTTCTCAGTTGCCCTCTGGACTGTCGGGTTGTCGGTATCCCAGGTGTCCTGCTGGTCGTTTTTGAAATTCTCCCTGCGGACTGTTCATCCAGGCTCTGATTGCGACGCAACCATCACTCGCCACAGTTTCGCTAGTCACTTCTGGGCCCCGTGACAAGCCAGCACGACTACAGTAGCAGTGGTAACGCTGCTTCTTCGGCAAGGTCACTTTCCTCGAGACATTTTCAACTACCACCAAATCAACGCAAACGACAGTGTCACTGGTAACCCTGTCCTGACATACTCATGCTCACCTGAGTTTCAGTGCTGTCCGCCCAAGGAGTCGCATCGCAGGTGGTTTTCAGCTGCCGAGACCTACGTACAGTGTCGCAACGAGCGATCGTTCTTTCACCTGCCTCGAGTCACCTGCCCCTGTCACGGGATGTGAGGCAGAACAACAAAATCCTTTCCGCCACCCATCCGACCCAAATCAAACCAGCCCAGCCTGTCCCCCCTTCTCATTGTTCTGCTTGGTTCTCTACAGGTTAGGAAGCATAGGTCCCAACCCTACCTCATAGTCACTTCTACATCGTTTAGTTACTTACCATTCTTACCTGCTGGGCGTAGACACCGAAAATGGGTCGGCTCGCCGTTGCGTTAGTCTTGGTTCTTGCTTGCGCTGCTACGGCGCGTGCCATCACATGGAACGACAACAGGTACCAGGCTGACTTCGACAGCGGGAGAGTGACTTACAGCTCGTGCGAGGACAACCAGCTGTGCATTAAGAACTGCAGCACTCAGAATCCGACTCGCTATTACATGGGCCAGTACTCCCTCCCTTTCTACCGCTGCACTAGCGTCACTAAGAATGATAACAAAGTCGCCGGTCTTCCGTACTGCTACAGTAATGCGATTCTCGAAGAGCAGTGCTGCAACGCGTGTACCGACAACAACACGTGCTCGTACTGGCAGCACTTCAAGCCCGCCGCCACCGCGTGCGAGGGCTGCGGTATCTGCATTCTCTACCCTCCGGGCTACTCGCCGGGCTGCGTGTCGACGCCGATCACGCTGTCGCTGGCGGACGGCACGGAGTACACGCGCTACCTCTCCAACATCAGCGTCGTCGGCCATCCTTGCGGCGAGGGCCAGAACGACCCCCACTTCCGCGGCGCGCACGGCACGCGCTTCGAGTTCAACGGTCTTCCCGAGCAGTCGTTCTGCCTGCTGACGGACCGCAACCTGCACGTCAACATGAAGATGCGCGGCTACTACGACACGCGCACCACCGGCGCGTCTATTCTCAAGAACGGCAAGGCGGTGCGCACGTGGATCCGCGAACTGGGCTTCCTGTGGACCGACTCCGCCGGCAAGAAGCACTCGTTCCGCCTGCTGGCTCGCGACGGCAAGAAGACGGCGCGCGGAAAGGGCTTCCTGAAGGAGATCGAGTACGACGGCCACGTGCTGCCGCTGCTGAAGCTCGGCGAGAAGTACTCGCTCAAGGGCGGACTGACGTTCGCCTTCGAGGCGTACGAGAAGGCCGGGCGCGGCTTTTTCGATGTGGACGCCTACCACCTGGAGATCGAGGGGCTTCTTAAGATGGGCGTCAAGCTCCGCGTCGCGCACCCGCTGCTGCAGACCAAGGACGACGCCGAGGCGCATTTGAACGTGCACTTCGAGCACATCTACAGGACGGACGACATCCACGGCATCATGGGGCAGACGTACCGCGACGGCCGCGAGAAGCGCGCGCTCGACTACAACACGCTCTCGCAGGTGATTGGCCGCCCAATTGCTGCCGACGGGCCGAGCGGTGCGGGTTTCCTGGACGGCGACGTGAAGGACTATCGCACGTCCGGCGTGCTGTCGCCCGACTGCCTGTACACGGCGTATGACGGACACGACCTGCCGACGATTGCGGCGTACAAGGGCATTCAAATGGCTTGACGTGTTTCGAAGCCCTGAGAATTAAAATGCTTCAGGGTGTGTATTATGTGGGGTTCGACTCAAATACTCTTCCTTCGTTGCTTGCTTGTATTCAATAGCTAGTCCTGAAAATTTCGGCATTGAATATGTTTTTTCATATCGAAATTTATTTTATGCAAATAATGCTGTTCATTCCTGATTTGCATTTTCCTCCCTGAGAATATTTGTAACGGTCGCAATCTCCACTAATTGATTTAGAGCGTATTCCTTGGGCTCAGGCTACGTCGTATCAATATCGCACTTTTTGCCTGGTAAAACTAGCGAGAGGTTTCAGATTTAAGGAAATTTTCAGTGTGAGCTTGATATTATGAGGTTCGATTGATAAGAGGATAGGAATACGCTCTTATACAAGACATCTGCCCAGCAGTTATTGCATTTGAACACAAACCATACAAAGCTAAAACAGCTACCGGTACCCTACCAAACAAATGCGTGGAATACATAAGTGTGTTATGTTGTGTTGGTATCTGCAGCTGCAGCTGCAATCAGCAACTCTCCCCCCATTGTTGAAGCTTGGGCGTCCTTATGACACTCAGCTTCCGTGCGTCCCTCACAAACTCACTGCACGCCGCACACAGGAGAAGATGAGAGACAGCCTCATAGTGAGCACGGTTGCATGCAAATGGCACAGTGCAGCACTCATAGTGCGGAGCTCCAGGGATAAAAAAGGGAGATGCAGGATGGGGTGTAGGAAGAGCATGAGGAGGAGATGCAGTAAGTAGAGGAGCAACAGAGGGAAGAGGAGGGAGTGGGAGGGAGAACGAGAGGGAGCGAATGAGAGGAAGAGAGGCAGAAAGGGACGAGAAGCCGTGAGAGAGGAAGGAGGCGCAGTGAGGGTGGGCTGACCTCCACGGCCCGTCGCCAACGAGGAGCGTGTCGCCGTCGGTGTCGGTGTAGGTGAGCTGCCAGGGACACGTGGCACCCGCTGAGGGCTCCCCTGGCTGCTGCAGAGGCAGCTGTAGCATGGCTGCACACGTGGCGTACAGCGATTGGAAGCTGCCGATGCCACTGAGATCCACCGTGCGCATCACCGGGCTTCCCTCCACCCTCAGCTGCACAGGGCACAAGGCAGCAGGAGCAAGAGAGCACAATGGGTGCGGGTGAGAGGGTGGCATACGTGCAGTGCATGCATGCAGTCAACCATTCAACCATGCGCCATGCTGCATGTATCCGTGATTGCATCAAGGAAACACTCACTTTGATGCGCCGAGACTGCCCAGCAGCAGCAGCAGCAGCATGGCAGCTTGGCTGCAATGCCTCACACGCTGGACTGGCAGCAGCAGCAGCAGAGGGAGGTGCATGGTTGTCAGTGCGCGCCGCCATGGCTTCATCACAACCGTCCATTGCCACTCCCCTTGTGGCCTCTGCACCCTGCCTTGGCGTCGCAGGCACCTCCTCCTGGGCCCCCACTGCGCTCCTCCGAGCTCCCCACTCACTCTCTCTCCTCTCCCTCCCTGCTCCTCCCACTGCGGCAGGCTGCTCTGTCTCCTGTTGTGCCACGTCATGCCTGTCGTGTGCCACTGCAGTGCCACCTACCCCCAACTGCTGCGGCTGTGGCGAATGGGATTGACGTGGCGAGTGAGGGGCGAGAGGGGCGAGAGGGGCAGAGAGAGTGAGGGAGAGCGCCAGGGGATCGCACCAACCTGAAGCACCTGAGGCACCTGAAGCACCTGAGGCACCTGAAGCACCTGAGGCACCTGAAGCACCTGAGGCACCTGAAGCACCTGAGGCACCTGAAGCACCTGAGGCACCTGAAGCACCTGAGGCACCTGAAGCACCTGAGGCACCTGAAGCACCTGAGGCACCTGAAGCACCTGAGGCACCTGAAGCACCTGAGGCACCTGAAGCACCTGAGGCAGGTGAAGCGAGAAGCTTTGTGGAATGGGCGATGGAGAGTGGGCGATCAGGAGGTGACGGGGAGAGTGAGAGGGCGAGATTCGAAGGCACTGCTGCCGGTGTTGCTGCCGGTGGTGTTGATGGTGCCATAGCTGCCACTGCTGCTGCTGCTCCTGCTGCAGGTGCGGTGTGTTGCCCCCCTTGCTTGAGCACGAGCAGGGATGCCGCCGCTACTTCAAACGATGAGTGGCTGTGCCTGCCCGTCACGCCCTCCTCTGCTCCCTGCTCTGCCTTCTCTCCCTCCTTTCTCTTCTCCCTTCCCTCCTCTCCGTCCCCTCCCATTTCTCCCTCCCTTCTCTCCTCTTCCTCTCTTCCCTGCGCCTCCACCATGTCCCCCTCCTCGCCGCCCTTCCCACACTCCTCATCTCGCATCTCCTGCTCCTCACACGCCTCGTCGCCCTCTTCCTCACGCCCTTCCAAATCACCGCTCTGCCAGCTCGCACAACGGTCGGCACTCCTCGGCTTCTTCCCTGGCCGCTCCTCTGCTGAGTCAGCTGCCACGTGGCAGTCAGTGAGTGGAAGCAGTGAGGCGAGAGACAGCCTGGCAGGCCGAGGGTCGCCGTAAGGGGGGGCGGCGTGGGAGGGGGCGGTGGGGAGGGGGCGGAGGGGGGTTGGGAAGGGGTATGTTGCAGCTGCGTGGAGTGGGGAGGAGGAGGAGGGGAGGGCGCAGGCGGGTCGAGGTCGCACTGAAAGCGCACTCGCTTGCGCACCGCGCTGCCAGGTGGCAGCACGCCATTGGCAGGTGGGAGCACTCCGCACGCCCCACTACCTGCCGCCCCGCCGCTGCCGGCCTGTTGTGGTGCGGCGGGCGGCAGGCGTGTGGTGGGGCGAGGGGTGGCTGGCTTTCCACCCTCACTGCGGCTGCTGCTCATGTCCGAGTGCGAGTGAGAGTGAGAGTGCGAGTGAGAGTGCGAGTGAGAGTGCGAGTGAGAGTGAGAGTGAGAGTGAGAGTGAGAGAATGAGGGTGTGGGGGGGAGTGAGAGGGAGCGAGGGCGGGAGTGGGAGAGGTGCAGCAGAGCAGCCACGTTGGGGGCCATGGACCGGGCCACCGGGCGGGTAATAAGCACCCGCTGCTGGTGCCTTTGAGACGGTGGTGGTGGTGGTGGTGGCGGTGGTGGTGGGGTGACAGACGCACATTCCTCTGATGCCGCACCTGCTCCTGCCGCCACCTCTGCTGATGTGGCGGGCAGTGCCGACACTGGTCGCTCGCCCCCACCCCCTCGCTGCCGCCCTCCACATTCCAAATCCTCCGCCTCCCATTCTTCCTCCCGCCCTCCCTCCCCGCCATCCGCGCCCGTCTGCCTTGTTGCCTCGCGCCCACTCTCCCCGCCCCTGCCCGCCCCGCTGGCAGGAAGGTGCAGGGGCAGGGGGAGAGGGTGGTCGGCGGGGGACTGCCTCACGAGCGCGCGCCACTGGCGCCATTCCGCCAGGCTGATGCGCCTCCCCCCGCCGGGGGACGGGCAGGGGGATGCGGAGGGGGGCAGGCGCAGAGGCGTGGGGGGGGTGGGCGCGGAGGGGAGGTGTGGGGCGGAGGAGGCGCTTCTGGGCGTGGTGGGGGAGGGGGGAGGCGGCATGAGCGCGGACGGGGAAGTGTGGAGGGGCGGAGAGGCGGAGAGAGGGGGGAACGCGGAATCCCTGAGGCTGGAGCGGGCGGGTCGGGGGTCACGGGGGGAGGAGGGCGGGCGCGGGGAGACAAGGGGGCGGGGGGAGGGGGAGGAGGAGGAGGAGGGGAAGGGAGCGGAGGCAGTGAGGGAGGATGTGGTGGAGAGGGAGAGGGACATGGGCGCGGAGAGCGAGGAGGAGCAGGGGGAGGCGCGGGGGGCGGAGGGCAACGAGTCGTCGAGGTGCCAGGGGGAGACGAGGGGGGGGCGGGGCAGCGAGGGGTCGCAGTCAAACCAGCGCACGCGCACTGAGCGCCATTGGGACGTGGGCCACACGCCGCTCGCCGCCCTGTGCACGGCTGTTACTGTGCCGCGCAGGCGGTGCGTGGACAGCTCGTCGGTCTCGAACGCCATGCGCACCTCGCTGGCTGCGGTGAGGCGCTGCTTGAGGCGCAACGCAGCTATGGCAGAAGGCGCTGAGGGGCAGCACAAAGGGCGCTGGCGTTGACGCCACGCTGGGGGGGGGGAGGACGGGCGGAGCACAGGGGAGGCGCAGGGAGGGGGAGGTGAGGAGGGGGGGTGGTGCGTGGAGGGAGAGAGAGAGGAGGGGTGTGCGGAGGGAGTGGCACGGGCAGTGTGGGACGAGCGAAATCCGGACAAAACGAGGAGGTCGAGGAGAGTAGGGGCGGGTAGAGGAGACGGGAAGGGGTGGGCAAGGGAGAGAAGCAAGAGAGTCAAGGCAAGCAGAGGAGGGGGAGCAAGGTGAGGGGAAGAGGGCGGGAGTTGGGAGGAGTGAGGAGAGGAGGGGGGGATACCAGGGGTGGTAGACGACGGAGAAGGCCCTCTTGACGCCATGGCAGTGCGCCGCCCACTCCAACACCTGACTCGCTGTCACGCTTGCCACTGCTGCTGTCGCCGCTGAACCGCCACCACCCCGGCTTGTAGCAGCTGCTGCTATCGCATGCGCACCCGTGTTGCTTGAATCCTTCGCTGCGCCCGCACTGCTTGCACCATCGCTTGCCCCGCGCCCTCTCTCCCGCTCCCTCTGCCGCCTGTGCTGCGCTGCCAGCACGGCCTCGCTGCGCCTCGCGCCCACCTTCAGCGCCCCGTTGCCCGCCCTGCCAGCACCGCGCGGGGGGGGAGGAGAGGGGTAGAGTGGGGGGAGAGCGAGCGAGCGGAGGAGTTTGAGGCATGGCACGGTGGAGAGAGGCGTGGGGCGGCTGTAGAGCTTGAGGAGGGAAAGAAGTGTCAGAATGTTATTCTCTAGCCTGTAGTGGGGTGCTCTGTAGCAAGTACAACCCTTCTAGGGTTTGCTATATGTATCCTCATTGCTGCTAGTGAAAACCCTCTTCTTTTGCCTAAACTGTCTCTTGCCTAGCTAGGACTCTCCTAGCTATGGCTCCTAACACTACATACTATTTTGACATGGTATCAGAGCTTAACGTTCCTGGCCTGTGGGCCCACTTCACTGCTTCCGCTGCTACTGCTACTCCCTGTCCGCCGCGCGCCCCGTGGTGCGCGGCGTCGAAATTAGGGTTTTCAGCCCGCCGTGCGCCCCGAGGCGCGCGGCGGTTTTCTGCCCGCCGTGCGCCCCGAGGCGTGCGGCGGTTCTCTGCCCGCCGTGTGCCCCGAGGCGCGCGGCGGGTTTCTGCCCCGTCACTCGGCGCGTCGCCCCCGGGAGGCGCTGCGACGGGCGACGGGGACCCGCGCGTCGCCCCCCGTCGCCCGTCGTGGCCTGCGCGCGGCCCGTACAGCCGGCGCGCGGCCCGTACGGGCTGCGCCAGGCCCGCGCGCGGCTCGTACGGGCTGCGCCAGGCCCGCGCGCGGCTCGGACCGCCTGCGCGCGGTTCGGGAGGCTGTGCCAGGCCCGTGGGCGGCCCGTTCTTCGCTGCCCCTGTCCTCCCCGCTGTCCCCCGTGCTTCTGAAGGCGCCCCACCCCTCCTTCTGCCCGTTCTCCTGGATTAGGGTTTGGGGGTGGGGGGTATGGGGGTGCAGCTTCTGAGTGCCGTTCCCTGCTCCTCCTCCTCCTCCGTCTCCCTGTGCTGCAGCTGCCGCTGAGGGGGGGTGGACCTGTTGGAGCCGACGGAGTGGTACTAAGGGGGGGGTGAAAGGGGAGTGGAGCTAGCGGTGTAGCAGCGGGTGTGTGTTAGGGGGAGTGGGATAGTTTGGGGAGGTTGAAGGGGGTGGCCGCCGTCAAGCCAGCAGCTCCAGTCGCCCGTGAGACCGTTGCGCCAGTCGCCCGTGAGCCCGTTGCGCCAGTCGCCCGTGAGCCCGTTGCTCCAGTCGCCCGTGTGCCAGTTGCTCCAGTTGCCAGTGTGCCAGTTGCTCCAGTTGCCAGTTGCTCCAGTTGCGCCGTGTGCCAGCAGCTTCAGCTGCCGCCCACTACCTCCTCTCCTCTCATAGTCTCTTTCCTCCTCCTCACTTGCCCGTTGTGACTACCACTAGCTTTGCTCATAATTGTGAACTTTAAACTATTGCTTCTTAAACTTGTGCTCAGAATGTGTGGTGACATTGTGATCCACCCTGAGCTTGTACTGCTTTGTTTGCTCTGCTGATTACACCCCACTTTGGCTATGGGGGTGTGTCAGAATGTTATTCTCTAGCCTGTAGTGGGGTGCTCTGTAGCGAGTACAACCCATCTAGGGTTTGCTATATGTATCCTCATTGCTGCTAGTGAAAACCCTCTTCTTTTGCCTAAACTGTCTCTTGCCTAGCTAGGACTCTCCTAGCTATGGCTCCTAACACTACATACTATTTTGACAAGAAGAAGGGCGGGCAGGGGAAGCACGTGTCGTGAGGCAGTGAGCGGCAAGCAAGGCGCTTACCTGAGGAAGACGATGCTGCCCCACCCACCTGAGAAAACACCTGAGATCACCTGAGGAAGATGATGCGGTCAGAGGCGGCAAGCCCCCACGAGGCGCAGAGGGCGCTCCACCCGGCAGTGAGAAGGTGGCGGCGTGGCGACCCGCGGTACACGTGGCGGAAGTTCCACTCGCGCCCGAACACGTCTGACGCCACCAGCTGCTGACATGGCCCCTCCTCATTGGCGTCCTGCCGTGCTCCATGCCATGCCATGCCATGCCATGCCATGCCATCATGCAGGACGAATCACAGATGAGAAGACGAAGATGCAGCGGCGTGGCATGGCACAGTGCTCTAGGTGCAAGCAACGCGCGAGGAGGCGGTGAGCAGCATAGGCACAGGGGAGGGGCAGGGGCGGGGCTTACGAGGGCGGGGAAGAGCGACTCGGCGGCCTTGCGCGGGATGAAGAAGCCGCCGTGTGGCGCGGCGTCGCTGGTGGAGAGGCGCTTGCAGCACATGTGCAGCCGCGCATGCGCGCCCATGTGCGTGTGCACCCCCGCCTGCACACCCGCCTGCGCCTGCAGGCCCCCCGACCGCGCTGCCTGCGTGCGCCCGCCGTCTGCGTCCATGCCGCCCTCCTCGCTCCGCTCCTCTTGCGCGTCCGCCTTCTCCCCATTGCGCCCCCGTCTCCTCCCCCCCGCGCCTGCCCTGCGCGCCTCCTGGCTGGCCGCTGCTTGCACCCTCACTGCTTCCGCCTGCTCAGGCACGGGCGAAAGAACAGGCGAGTGGACACACAGGGGGGGATTAGACAGTGGGCAGAGGAGGGGGAAGGGCAGCTGACAGTGCGGAGGAAAGGGATGGCGCACAAGTGAAAGACAGGGGGAAGAGGGGCAACATACGAACGAGTTGACAGGGAAACAAGCGCATGGCGAGGAGAGGCAAGCAGCCAAACACTCGTGCGCTCCGTCACTCATGCATTCAACGGTTGAATGCGCCACGGCTGAGCCCCGAAGGGCGCCTCACCTCGTCTACGGGCTGCAGGTCGAAGCGCACCATCAGCTCGTGCGTGCGCTCGTCCGCCTGGGGGGGGGGGCAGAGGAACGGGCAGCGGACGGGTATTGCGGAGAGGAGTTTGTTATCGGAATGGAAGCAAGCGCGCACGCATAATTTCATCTGGTCATCCAATCCCGGCGGAAGGGCCAAGTCGCGGGGGGAAATCGCGGCGGGAAAGTCACCTCCGTCACCTCCTAGCCGAGCCTACGGCGAGTGTCGCGTCGCGCGAGAGTGCGGTACCTGAAGCGCGACGGCCGTCAGGCGGCAGAAAATGTGGCTGGGCGGCAGCTGCTGTCGCCTCTTCGCCTGCGCGCTCTCCGCTGCGCTCCCACTGTCCGCTCCGCGCGTGCCGCTTCCTCCGCCGCTTCCGCCACGCCCGCCAGGACTGCCGCTGCTTTGCGCGCATTGGCCGGCGGAAGGGGGGGAAGCGGACGCGCAGCCTCTGGGGAGAGTGCATCCGCTCGAGTCTGATTGGCTGGGCGATTGGCTCAACCCGCTGTTGCCGCCGTGCGACGGGCTTGGCGAGTCGTCGCCGCTGTTGTGCGACTGCGACTGCGATTCTGACGTGGAGATGGCGATCGGCGACGACAGCCCCGACGGCGGCGAGCGGGGCGGCGACTCCGATTCGGTCGACTGCGGTGGGTCGCGCTGCGGGGGAGGGGGTAGTTGGGGAGGGGGGGCGGGGAGGGGCAACGTGAATAAAGACGGGGAAACGAAGGAGAGCGTAGAGGTGACCGGGGGGGACTCCTCAGAGGAGGCGGAAAGGCGGACGCCGCCCGTGAAGCGCGGCGGATGTGAAGCACAGGCATTGGCCCCACACGTGGACCATCCGAAAAGGCCGAGATTCTCGTGTAATGTTCGACCGAGGTCTGGGCGACGTCGCTCAGTGGTCGAGTCGTGCCGACCCAGCACGCTGCAATGGCGGCACGGGCTCTACCTGCGCGAGGCGCTGCTGTTGCTCCACGTGGCCCTGCGGGAAGTACACCACCAGCGACCCCACGGCCGGCACCGTCACCAGCGGCCCTGCGCACGCGTACCACAGCGCCGCGTCCTCCACCACGCGCACGTGCCGGTTCGCCGCGCTGCCCATCGCGTCCAGGCGGGGCAGCGGCGGCGCGGCGACGTTCGCGGAACGTGAGACGCTTTCAGCGCCGGCTGCGGTAACGGCGGCTTGCGGGGACTGAGAGCCTTGGCTCCCCCGCGGAATCCGCCCTCCCTTGCACTCTCGATCCCGCGCGCCAGGGCCGTCTCCGCTGCCAGCGCCCGCGCGCTGTCCTCCCTCGATCCGCGAAAGGTTTCCCGAGCCCCCATTGTCTGTTGTCTCGTTCGTCGAGTCGTCGTCGCTCGACGAGTAGCTTGGATCATTTCGCAAGCTGTCGCCTCGCGTCGCTTGCAGCTCGAACTCCATGTCGTTAGCGCTGTGCGACGTCCGGCTTGGTTGTCCCCCGCGGGTGTCTCAACGACTAGGGGAAAGCTATTGGAGCATATGAATTCGCATGGAAATAATGCGCCCCACTTCCACACCGCCGCCGTGTTTTCTATCGCTATCCGTCCGACTCGTTTCACACTCTCCGCTAGGATGTCTGACAATCTATCAGGTCCCGGCGAGGAGCTAAATGAGCTGCGATCGCTCACATGGAAAATGTCCGAGGCCATGCTTTCAACGGAACGCGATACCTCCATGGGGCCTTGCTAGCGTCGGATGAAAAACGATTGACCCGTCGCTGCCGCCTTGCATTATGGGATACCCATAATGTGTTGGGATTGGGATTGGGATGGCATGAGAAAGCATATGCACTTTTGCCGCATAATTTTTTGGCTAGTTTCCAGTATTTGCAGAGTCGAGCAGGAAGTGTTTTGGATTTAGAAATAACCACCCTGGAGTTGAGGCATGAGAGGGGACATCGCTGTGCATGGAGACTTGAGGAATGAGCCAATTGGGGTCGCAGTTGCGACACTGTAGCCCTGAAATTCACCCCTCTTGAGCCCTCCCCCGATACACGTCAGCACTGTCGCCGAAATCCCGCTCCTTCACGGTTACGGTCTATGCATAGACCGCACACCACACCTCTAAAGACTGCTGAATGCGGGCAGGAATACATTTGATTGGCAAGTCAAAATCCAGTACAAACAACAGTGGCGACCATCCCCATTGGTGTCCCGTGAATGATGCTTCATCCTGTATAATTCTTCACGTGGTCGCAAAAGTGGGTTTGCTTCGAGGTTTACCCTGCTACAGCGGATCTCCATAAACTCGACTTGGCAATAATGCTGCTGGAAGCGAGTTCAAGTTCATCTGCACTTCCACACTCTCTGGCCGCGTTCTGGTATGTTCATATGGCGCGGCTCGGAAAAAACCCCGCCCACGCCTTGGGATGCACGGGGCGCGGAGACCTCGCGGGAAACGTGGGGCAAAGTCGGCCACCCAGGATTTCACCAGAATTGGCCTTAGCGCGGCCCTGCGTGGCTCAGTGAAATCCACCAGGGTTTCACCGAAAGCTCCGCGCCCCCCCAAAAACCGAAAGAACCCATCTCGTTCTTACGCGCCGATGCATGCGCGACTCGGTAAAAAACGCACGAAATTGGTCGGGAACATCAACGAGCGGGACTTCCCGCGCATGCAACTGAGCATTCGCGAAAAAATGGGGCGCTACTATTGGTTGTGCTGTCTCGCAACTTGTCGCGAACATAATTCGCACGAGGAGTGGTTGGGTAAGCGCACCGCTTGATTCGGTTCGTAAACAGCTGGCGCGATCTGGTAGGCTCCATGCTGGCTGACACGTGCAGCAATTCGAACGAGCCACACAGCTGTCGCTGTTTGGTCGAGGCGCGATCGCGGTAGCGTGTCAATCACGTCCACGCGGAGTCCGGTCATTACTCCGTGCATGCCCACACTTTCACCTTTCGCTCGCCAGTTGCACACCAAGCCCTCTCATGACCCACGGGATTCACCGGACTTAGACGGGGAAAACTGGACACCAGTGTCGCGGTTACGGTGTGTGTCGCTCTCGAATGTCCGCGAGGACCGCGGTCGCAGTCACACCCGGGTGTACAAGTTGTGACCGCGCATCATGTTGACGCGCGCGGTGAATAGGAGTAGGGGCATTATCGCACGCCGCATGCATACCGTGAATCGCGTCGCGGCGCCAATACTTCACGACTCCATCAATGCTACAGGCAACACAACCGCGCAGCAATTCCATAATGCCGATCCGCCTCTCGCCCCCGTGCAAGGCGTGCACGCGCACAACCCCACATGGAGCATCCCATACGTGCAGCCTGTGGTTATTGGGTCGCGGATGCCCGCGTTCCACCCACAGCAACTGGTCAACGGGCTCCACCTAGCACCGCGGCCACATATTCCGTTTCAAAATCAGCAGGATGATCTGACCGCGCATGGAGTATCCATGCCTCATCCCGGACCACAGGTTGATGGCCAACACACCGCGTCCCCGTCCGTGCCCACAAGCCAGCTCTTTGGGACGCCTGTGCGTGGCTTCGTAGGGCCGCAGTACGCGAATGTGGGATTCCGGTACGGGTACATCGGCGTTCAACCACCGCCCACGGTGCACGCACCCGCGTCTGTCGCGACTCCTCCAGTCGGCCCGTCAACCCCATTCCCCACCGCGATCTATCCGGAAAGCCAGCCATCGGGGCAAGCCCCGCCAGACCCTATAGAACCATTAGTGGTCGGTGTGGATACACAGCCGCGAACAGACGGCCCATTAACGAATGCGAACAACGACGGTTTAGTGCGTGAGGTGAATGGTGGATCGGGAATGAATGCAAGCGCGCGTGCACATTCGCCGCCAATATGGAACGTGAACTCACTGTTGCCGGGAAACCCGGACGTCCACATCCGCACTCCCGCTCAACCGACCGCAGCGGACGCGACCGGTGTAGGTGGGCAACCACAGGCGAACGGGGGCAACGCGGGACGTGGAGCGTGTGCAGGAGGAAACGCGGGAAGAGGAAGAGGGACTGGTGCAAGGGGAAACGCGGGAAGAGGAAGAGGGACTGGTGCGAGAGGGAATGCGGGAAGTGGGACAGGTGCGAGAGGAAGGGGTGGGAGAGCGAGCGCGGGACGTGGGACCGGTGTGGGACGGAACGGAGGTAGTGCGAACGGGCGGAGAGCGACTGGGGTGACAGGCAACGGCGGCAGAGGTAACAGTGTTAACGCGACCGAAGGTACCGCGAACGTGACAGCCAGTATACCTCGTATAAGGAGGCGGCGAGTCGAAGTCGTGCCGCACACTGCACGCAACGGATCGAGGGAAGGGAGCGAGGGGCAAAACGATGAGGATGACGAGGACGACGCTGACGATGCGGACGACAGTTGGAATGACGATGACGACAGCTACCTGTCGAACTCGCTGTCCGCGCTCAACGAGGAGGAGGCGGAAGACAACGAACGGGTGCGGGGTACGCGAACGGACTTGGAGGTCCCCATCGCGGATTGGAACAGGCTTGGTGTGGACGACACGCCGGCCGCGAAAAGGGAGATGTGCATGGGCATCCTCTACGGTGTCTCTGAGGCCACGCTGAAGAAGTATCGCGGTTGGGCCAGAGAGTACAAGCTGTTCATGGCGCACGAGCTGCCGAAACTGGACGCGAGCAGGTTCGGTGAGGAAGCATCGTTGAGTAACGCGAACCCCGACGAGATCGGTGCCGCGCTCGAGCAGAACATGGGTGGTGACTGGAAGATGGCGGAGGGCGTCGAGCAGTGGTTCCACGGCCCTGAGACGAATCCGTGGCGCTTACGCAAATACGTGACCTTCCTCGCGAACGAGACGGTCGCACAGGCGGACAGGATGGCCACACTAAAGCGGCCCGACAAGACCTTGAAGAAGAGACGCCAGTGCTCCCCTGCAATGCTGATGGGGCGCCTCTAGGCTTTGAACCTGCTCATCAAGCTGGACGGGGCCATCTTCAGGAAGCCCGTTCTGAACCTGCTGCGCGACTTTGCAGAGTGTCGCATCTGGGTCCGCGTTCAAGTACGCGACCAGTACAAGCGATTTATCGCGTAAGTTTACGATCAAAGTGAACGCGTATTTCCAACAAAATCGCGTTCACTAACATGCTCACCATCGTCCAACTGGTTGCGCAGGGAACACATGGATCGCCATCGGGGCACGGCCGCGGACACGTACAACCCGGACGAGTTCAAGAAGATGATACGGAAGACCAGCATGGCCGCCATATTGAGCAGCTTCACACTAGCCAAGCAACAGTACACGCAGGCAATGCATCGCGACCTCTGCATCAGGACGATGACCGTCCTCGGTCATCACACACTAGCCCGCGGGTGCACGATCAGAAACCTCCAGCTTCCAGACATGATGATGTGGAAGCTCGGCGCAAAATCCGAGACAGATCCAGTGCGGAACGCGTTCGCGTTTGTCTGCGCGTGCAGGACGGGCAAGACAAACAAGGACTTCTCGCTCAACTACATCTCGGCAGTGAGACACATAGATTGGACTCTGTGCGCGGTCGGAGCCACGCTGCTCTGACTGCACTGGGTGTACGACTTGGTCCCCATCCTCTACGGGGACATAGCCCCCCCTCTCGACTTCACGGAACCCTCGACGTGGTACGACCAGTACCTCTTCTTCCCCCTTCGCGCGGGCACCGAGAAGCAGATACCGCCCACGACTCATCACGACTGGGCGGCGAAGATTCTGGGGGACGCGGGAATCACATGCTCGCGTGTGGTTCACGCGACGAGAGCTGGTGGGGCTCAGCACGCGTCCGCGGACGGAATGCCCTCTGATCAGCTGGCGAGACTGGGGGGTTGGCGCTTCATCGACGTGATGACTAAGCACTACCTCACAACTATTCCGAGGGAGGCCGTGCTCCTGAAGGCTGGCTTCACAGGGGTTGATGGTGACTACTTCCTGGGTCGCGCAACTGTTCCGGTGAGCGAGAAGTTGGAGAAGCTATTGAGGAAGCACATTTTCCCCTGGGCCGCACCGGACAAAGGACAGAATCAGGTATGTGTGGGCCGCGCGGAGTACTATCAAGAGACCGCGATCATTCCACGTAACCCTCTGGCTCCGGGCTAACTACCACGTTGTTGTGTTGCATAGTGCCATGATTACAACCGGAAGATGGTAAGCGAGGACAACGCAGAGAAGCAGGACACCGCGGGTCTAAACATACTGAAGGAGCTGAATGGGGAGGCTAGAATGGCGGTCGCGCAAGACCTGGCCATGTATTACATCCACCAGCCGCGACACCCGTACGTGGTCAACAACCCGCTCTGCCAGACAGAGGAATTTGCGCGGTGGGCAGCAGATGTCTCCTTGGCAAATCAGCTGGCCATAGTAATGCGTAACACACCTACACAGACCCATCCCGCGGTGCGTACTGTATAGTCACGTTACTAATTCGGCTGTAATGTCCATGAGTACCCATCACAATATCGCGATCGCGTTTTGTATGTGCAGGAGGTCAGTACCAGAATGGACGTGCAGAACCAGGTGGCCGTCCTCACTGAGTACCTGACTCGTTCGCAAGCGGACAACACCAGGCTGGGTGTAGAGTTGGTGGCGACTCATAAACGGGTGAAAGAGCTGGAGGGTCTGTTGGAAGAACGCGATCGGGAGCTGGCCGCGAAAGACGATCGCGTGAATGATCTGGAGGCCCAGCTGTCGCGTCTCACCGTGAGCAGCTCAGGGCCGACCGCGGATCCGAGTCCGGCAAACACTCCTGGAGCCGCGGCCGCGCCTACCAATGCCGCAACCCCCACCGACCAGGGAACGCGTAAGAAGCCCGCACAGCCGACCAGGGAAGAGACAATTCGGGACGCGATCATGAAGCCATGGGTCAACGCGACCAAGCCGTCGGACGGATGGAAGCTGTACAAGTCCACGCACGCGCTGGTAGGCGAGAGTCCAGAGTCGCTCCTGGCCCAACCCCGCGGTGCAGTTACACGAATGGCCGAGCTCATTGGGAAGGAGGGAGGCGGCCAGAACGCCGCCCAGAACGCGATAAACCGTGTAAAGCGAGTCATGGACTTCATCTCGCGCAGGGTGGAGCAGGGAGACAACATCGCGGTCGTGCTCGACAAGCTCGACCTCGTGTCTCGAACTGTGGGCATGTCGGGTGTGTCGGAAGGGATCGCGGTGAAGAAGAAGAGTGTTGACTTGAACCTGTGCGAGCTGAAGAAGGGTTCCCCGGCGGAGGTGCAGTTGCGGGTGAAATGGATGCTGGTACGCGACCGCATGATCGATGCCTCTCTTCCCGCGTCAGAGTTTCCTGTCGCGTGGCCTCAGTATTGTGCTCAGATGCCCCCGCTAGATTAATTGGGTGGTCCTACTATGTTCGCGTTCGGAAATTGCTGTAGATTGTGTTTCAAACTGGAAAACCCTATACCATACTGCTATATTCGGGTGTTAACTGTGCCGCGGTCGAAGTGTGTTGTCTGTACAGTGTGGTGTTAACCCTAAACCCTAAACAAAACGCGTTTAAGGTGGTCGCATACGCGTTCACATACTGTCCGCGTTCAAATACTGCTCTTGTGCGTATTCATTTTGTTCGCGAAGTCATCCGCGCGGTGCCTATTTGGGTGTGATGTTGGGTCAATGCCCAAGGAGGATTTAGGTCGCTACCTGGCCGCGACAGAAGCATAAGAGTTGAATTACAAAAAAGGGGAGGGAGTACACAGCATAGACAGAATGACCACCGCGAGAAAATCTCAAGCAGGGTGGGCAAGCTACCTACACTACCAAGAGTCTCATGCGACCACACAAACAAGAGTCTTTATCACCTAGAGTTCACATCCTCGAAACTACCACCTTCACGCGGACCTCTTCTTCGCGGACAGCCGCTTTTCCGGCAAAGCGAGGTAGAGCCCGTTGGCCTCCATCGCCTTGGCCGCGACCTTGCAGTCGCACCAGGTCATCAGCACGTCTACTGCCTCGTGCGCGACCATAGCGACTAAGGTAGGGTCTCCAAGTCGCGCACCAAGTCGGTTCACGACCGCGGTCTCAATCTTCTCCGCGATCTGCTTCGGGGTGACCTCAGGAGCTTGCTTGCGAGCATTCTCCTTCCTGGCCCACTTGAAAACCGCGGTCACGATCGTGGCGTAACCGCGGGGCCTTTTCTTCAGGCGTGCCAGCAAGCTGCGCCGCGGAGTATCCAGCATCCGCGATAGACTCGAGTTCGAGACCGTTGCAGGTCTCCCACACCATCGCGATGGCGCACGCGACCGCACGAGCGAACAGGCCCGCTTGGGCGCCGGTGACATCGGGCTCCTCATCTGCAGCCTCCTTCCCCACCGCGGCTGCCCAAGCTATCGCGTTGCCGATCGAGGACCCGCAGCGGGTGAGGTCGCGGTAGGCCTTGAACATGTGGTGGTACCTGCATGCATGGGGTAACACGCAACATGGTTAGGCACAAGTGTGACCGCGTAAAACAAATAAGTGATCAGATGACCGTACCTGTCAACATTGCCGCAGAGGTTGCGGAGGTGCATGGTGGTGAATAACCCGGTGCACAATGTCCCGGCCGCGGAGATGTCCTCGGCCCACTCACTCTTCTGCTGCGCAGTCAGCTTGAGCCCGGGGTCTATCTTCTTGTCGTAACACATCACCGCGATCGCGGTCAGATACTGCACCTCTTGGAGAGAGTGATGTCCGAGCCAGCGACGTCTCCCCCCCAGCCACGGTTCGCCCACCATCCCCTCCCCACCCCTAGGCGGAGGGCGGATACCACAGCCCTTGCGCTTGCCGCTTGTTCCGCTGGCGTCGCTTGGCCCCAAGAACCTCTGCATCACAAGCTCAACCTCATCGTCCGCGTCCGAGTCGTCGTCGTCGTCGCGTTCACACTTCAACGCGGCTGCAGGAGGCTTACAACCACTGCGGCCCTGATTCTTCGCCTTCACATCTGCAGAGGGGGGGATGGCAGGGGCGATAGAGCTGGGTCCAGGCTGTCCTGGCGCGACCGCGGCGGTGCCTGACGCGGGCACAATCGCGGTGGTGATGGCGGTGGTGGTGGAGGTGGTGTTTGGCGGGGCGTCCTCGACCTTGGCCTTGCCTTTACCAGCTTCCACCCCTGAGGTCGCAGTCGGCGGTCCAGCAGCAGCAGCAGCCCCCCTGTTGGTCCCCGCAGCACGTTCGACGACCGCGCCACCCTTGGTCTTCAGAAGGTCGGTGACGCTATAGATCGCGACCCCTTTCTGCCGCTTCCCACCCCTGCTGCTCTCGCACTTACCTGCCTCCTTGTCCGCGACCCTCTTCCCTGCCTCCTTGTCCGCGACCCTCTTCCCTGCCTCCTTGTCCGCGACCCTCTTCCCGGTCTCCTTGTCCGTGTCCTTCTTCCCGGCCTCCTTCTCCGCGGCCATCTTCCCTCCTTCCTTCTTCGCGACCTCCTTCCCACGCGGACCATCGGGGACTTCTTGCGGTGCTGCACGCCCGGAAAGCATCGCGATGATGATGTTGAGGGAGGTCGTGACGCCACTGCTTGTGATCGCTTTATCGGCGGTACTCGCGATGTTGGATGACGCGCCGTCGATCTTCCGTGCGACCTCGTCCGTGAGCTTCTTCTTGGCGTTCTCCATGGAGCCCACAACCACCCCCTTCATGCTCCCCGCGCAATCTTCCAACCGGACCGCAGCTCGTTTCAGCACCTCCCGCATGTCGCGATTCTCCGCCCTGTCCTTCGCGGCCAGCTTGGCTTCCCTGCGTATCACCCGGTCCGTGTTCTGCACGTGGGTTAGCACCTTCCCCACCGTGGCCTCGAGTTCTTCATACTTCTGCGTGATCACCACCGCGAATTCAGCACCGGGCACCGCGGACGCGACCTCGTCCAGCTTGCGCTTCTGATTTTTCAGCTGCTCGTTCAAGCGGAGGATCTCCGTGGCCAGCTTCTCAGGAGCCATCTTCACCAGCTCCGAGTGTTTCCGCTTGCCCAAGACCGGACTCTTGCCCGCAAACTCGCCCGATGGGGTCGCGCTGCCGTGGCGGGGGGACAGCACAGCCTGAAGACCGCGAATACTCTTCCCTGCAACCGCGACCGCGACCGCCGACCGACCGGCATTGTTGACCGCGATTTCCTCCACCTCCTCCTCCTCCTCCTCATCCTCTTCGTCATCCTCTTCCTCCTCCACTTCATCCGAACCCTCCGGCTCCAAATCACCGCGCTGGTGATCCTCCGGGCATCCTCTTCGTCGTGACCGCGACCCTGATCCTCTGCCTCGTCTGCCTCCTCTTCATTGTTGTCACCTCCACCCTGCGGCGCGTTAACAGGGGCGTCCTCGTCGCGGTCAGAGCTCGAGCCCTCTTCCTTGTTGTCCGGCTTCACCTGGTCCCCCTCCCCTGTGTTCGCGAGCGCAAGAGCTGTGTTGAGAGCGATGTTATCGCGTCCGGACACGCGGGATCCCGCGGGGTGTTCGTGCGACCTCTCACGGTCATTGCCGTGAGCATCCCCCCCATGACCATCCGCGATGCCGCAACGAGATCTGAACGCGAGCTCTTCGGCGGCGCGTTTCGCATCCTGCCGCAATGTGTTCAGCGTCCTGGCAATTGGCTTGGCGATGCGAGGAGCAGGGTCGTGTCCAACAACCGCGTCGAGGTCGTTGAGAACTCTGTCGAACGCGAACCCACATGCGAGCGGACCGCAATGGGGCTTCCAGGAAGAAATATCCTGAAAGGAAACAGGGGGGTCGGAATGTAGGGTTAGAGCCCTGCGACGTAGACAAACGCGGCCGAATGAAACGCGACATATAAACCGCGAATAATCAACAAACTCACCAGGTCTACGAGGCGCGACGGCTCGCCCAGCTGCCCTGCCCGAACGCACTGGACCGATTCGCTCCCGTAGTAGAGGCAGACGCGATCGCGAAACCACCTGCACGGTTCAAAATACGAATCTCAGGCACCGATGAATAATAGCAACCTAGCGTAAAAGGAGCACCTATACTAGAGACGTACTTGACAATCTTGTCCACCGCGGCAAGATGCTCAGCCGCGGCAGTGGGGTGACAGACGCGGACAAAGCGGGTTTTCCAGGGTGAAGTCGCGTCAAGTCCCAGGTGGTCCGGTCGCAAGAGCAGCAACATGCCCGCGTTGGAGGCCTTCTTGTCACTCAATTCTCTGACACATGATTACATGACACAAGGAGAAACGCTTCAGCAACTATCGGCAAACCCGTACGCAAAGCAGAACCAGCCTACAACAAGTCCCGATGTACTCACTCAGACCAGATGCAGAACGCGGCCAGCTTACACCCAACCAACCCGTCAAACGCCACGTGCGCGCCCTCTCCACCAGCGACGATGTCCGCGACAACATTGGAGGGCACCACCTTAATTGCCTCCACGAGCGACGGGGACACGCACTTCCGAACTACCACGCTGCACGTGGAACGGAAAACATATTTAGTTACAGAAATATCGCGGTCGGGGTGTCGCGAATATATGTGGAAACAATCCCGACGGAACTCTCCGGTTTCGCGAGCGGAATCGAAGGGTCGAGAGATGGCTCTGATGGATTTATATGCAGACGAAAAGGTCACGCGAACGTGATTTACGCGACCGCGATGCCATGCATGTAGATGACCTAAACCAGCCGGAATACGCCGCGATGCGACCCAAAAAAAAATGCGCCCTAAACAAGCCTGGCATCGCAAGGTAGGCTTACCAGGCTATAAAGTCGAAGGAGGTTGCGGTGAACGGATGCTTATCATCCGAGAAGCACTTCCTCTGCTCGGGGGGGAGCTCCACAGTGGCGCCAGCGATCGAGATCGTAGCAGTGTAAGTAGCGCCCTGCTCGCCACTGTTCAACAGCGCCTTCAATTCGCGACCGGCCATGGCGGTTGCAGAACGCGTGCAATTACCTACAGCGTGGTCGATGCGAGGAGCTAGGGATACCGAACGCGAACGCGAACACTCTACAGCTAAGAAAATCGCTCGCACCGAGAAGTAGGCGGAGAGGACCTAGCAGGTTGACAAGAAGGGAACCAAAGTGAAAAGAGCTAAAATGAGCCCGTGAAACCCTCTTGCAAGGGCCTAATAGGGGACGGGACGCATCCAGGATGGGGCCAGCGCGAGCAACAGGCATGGGGGTGGCACTGCGCGTGGTGGGGAGGAACCCGCGGGCCCCTTCGGACAACCCGAGGTGGGGGGCGTTCCCGTTCATGCATGCGGGTGGAACCAACACCCGCCATGTAGCTCTCCGACCGCGGTCTGCATGCAAAGGGCCGACGGTTACCACCTCGGGCGGAGTGTATTCCTCGTCGCGTCCGCCAAAAAACAGGGTTACGATCTCAAACTACCACTTTTTACACTCACGAATAATACACTACACGCGTGCATAATTGTAAATCGTGTTTAATTGAACACGCTAAACGCACCAAATGTGTCGCTTCAAGAACGGATAACAATACACCGTAGACAAAAAAAAAACCAAAATTGAGGGTGCGTTTTACTTCGCAAAAAAACAAAATGACGTGAATTTTAAATTTATGGCAAACTTCACGTGAAATGCCAAACGCGTTTAAATTTTGCAGATAGAAAAAAGAGTGTAACAACAGTACGTTGGGTGAACACTCTCCCAAAATGCGGATGTTTTATGGGCGAACCCTGGCGACCGTTCGCACGCGCGAAGCGTATTTCGCGACGAGCTTCCGGACCAGGGATCCGGTATGGACCGTCACCGATTGGCCGGCGCGCACAGGCGACGCTTCGCACGGGCTGCCAGGTGTGCGAACTGTTTCGCTAGGTCGGCTCCGATTGGCCGGAACAGCTTTGGCGCGCTCGGGGCCCGCGTAATTGGCACGCGATGGGTTTCGTTTCGCGAGGGGATTCGCGAGCCAGGGCTGGGTTTCGGGGGACATCGGGGTGTGGTCCCGGGCTGCGTGGCGCTGGCGTGTCCCGGGCTCGGCGCGGGACCACCCCGCCAGCTGACTCCGCCGCCCGAATCTCGCTAGGGACTTGCAGCCGGGCGGGGGACTCCCGCTCGCGTGCGTTTCCCAGCTGGGGGTCGCGACACAGCGTGCATCCGCGTGCGGCCCTGGTGGAAACTCGGTTCCACCAGGAGGGGGCCCTGGTGAAAGCCATCCCACCAGGGCCCGGATGGACTGTAGGCATTTCCCTTGGGAGGGAGGTGGGGGGGCGAAGCGAAATGACGAGGGTTCCGAGGCAGTTACCCCTTCGAGCCCTCCCCCCCCCGCTACAACCGAAAGTTGGAAATTCCAGGTTTAGGGTGCGAAGCTGCTAAGGTAAATGCCGAAAAAACAACCACAATTTCCAACTCTCAGAAGTTGGGTAGATAGAGCTGCGCGAAATCTGGAAAAGGGTTGAAATTTTGATAAGGGTTACCACGTAGAAAAAAATGGTCCCGCCCTGCACTCCCTCCAGCAAGACACAAACCCCGCTGATTCGAACCTTTTTTTTAGCTGTTAGTTTGACGCGTCCCTGTTAGGGCGACTCAAAGGAGGGGCTGTTTGCTTTCCAGGGTTCAAGTGTGGTGTTCCCTAACCCAGCACCTCCCTCCTCCCTCCGTCTCACATCCCGGGCAAGAGCAGTTTTCGAAAGGGGGGGAGAAGGAGACAAATTTTGCCAGATAAGGAAGGTGGGGTGGGGAAATAAGCAGCTTCCTATGCCCACATATCCACGATGGTAAATGGCTGTTCTGTTGCCATTTACCTTCGTTTACGTTCGGAGGGTAAATGGGAGGCTCGGATCCATTTTCCGGGCTGACCGGGCGTTTGATCCAAAAAACGCAGTTGGGGGAAGGTTCCTATTCACCAATAACCGAGTTACCCTACTTGCTTTCAAACAACTCTCGCGACCCCGGGCCATCGTCTTGCGACGACGGTTTCCTATTGGTCTGTGTTCTGAAAGGCAAAATCGAGGCGATCATCGCACGGAATATGCACTGTTCACCACTCACAGAACTTGAAAGCCAAGTTGTACTCATAAACTAGTAGGCTCCCCAGGCAGAAACTAGCACTATTGAGGCAAAAGCGAGCCGATAGCCCCATTTTTTTTATGTTCCCCGCGAAAGAGACATGAAGTCCAGCCGCAGCCGTGTTAGGGAGAGCTTTCTCTCATTCCACTCTCGCGTCGCCGGTCTCGTGTAACACCCCCCATTCGTGTCACTTACGTTAGCGAACGATGAAAGCGGTCACCCGCGCCTTGCTTACAACCTCGCGTCGCACACACAGGCTCGCATAACGCGCAATTGGTGCGGTTCAACATCGTGTCACGATCCTATTGTTTTAGGCACGGGTCACTCACTCGACCTCGCCTCCTCACTCGATCTCGCCTCGTCACTCGCTCGCCTCCTCACTCGATCTCGCCTCCCGTCACGCGCTTCCCCATCACGCTCGCATCCCCTCGTCACCCGCGCTTCCGCTCGCGTCCCGCGGGTCCACTCGTCAACCGCGCTTCCCGTCGTACTGAGCGCAAACCGCCGTCACCCGCCCTTCACGTCGTCACCGCTCATCCGGGTCGTCGCTCGCCCTTCCCTTCGTCGCTCGCCCTTCCCTTCGTCGCTTGCGCATCCACTCGTCACCCACATTTTCCCCCGTCAACCACGCTTCCCCCCGTCACCCGCGCTTCCCTCGTCACCCGCGCTTCCCCTCGTTCCCCGCGCCTACCCAATTCGCCCTCAATGCCCTCGTCGATAGCGCCTCTTCAATTCGCCCTCGTTACTCCTCATCGCTCACACCTGCCTCCATCCCCCCAACACCTGAACCGCCTCCCCCCCCACATATCCCTCCCTCATTCCTCCCCACATATCCCTCCCTCATTCCCCCCCGCATATACCTCCCTCATTCCATCCGAAGGGGAGGGACAGAGGGGGAGGGATAGCTTTAGAGGGACAGAGGGGGAGGGATAGCTTGGGAGGGACAGAGGGGGAGGGACAGAGGGGGAGGGACAGAGGGGGAGGGACAGAAAAGGAGGGACACAGGGGGAGGGACAGAGGGTGAGAGACAGAGGGTGAGAGACAGAGGCGGAGGGACAGAGGGGGAGGGACAGAGGTATCCCCTGCCCTGCTTCCCCCCATCCTATCCCTTCTTTCCCCGTATCCCCTGCCCTGCTTCCCCTCATCCTCTGACTTGCTTCCCCCCATCCCGTTCTTCCCCCCATCCCCTTCCCTGCTTCCCCCCATCTTCTTCCCTGCGTCCAACCATCCCCTTCCCTGCTTCCCCCCATCCCCTTCCCTGCTTCCCCCCATCCCCTTCCCTGCTTCCCCCCATCCCCTTCCCCCCTTCGCCCCATCCGCTTAGTGTCTAAAGTGTCTCAGAATGGGTCATCCACCAAGTTCCTCTTATGGCTCGCATCTAATTCATCAAGAATGTGAAAGAGGGCATTCCATATGAAATTTTAGAACAAATGTAGCGTCCGCCATGCTCATCATTTGCTTGCCAAGCGCGCAACAGGCGCAGGGAATAATAAAACAATGCATTGTTGAACTCATCCCTACTTTCCCATGTGTATAATCATGCAACCAGCCACAGGTAGCACCGGTTCCCAGTTACCGTACCCTCCTACCCACGTCCCAGTTCTCCAGATATCTAATTTCCTTGTGCTTTTGTGCCCCTCCCATCCCTGCCTACTACTCCTCACTTCCTCTACTCCACTCCTTCCCCTTCCCCCCATTCCCTTCCCCTCACACGACTACAAGAAAGTGTATAACAATAGAGCTACACCTCAAACGACCTGTATGCGAGTCAAGTACGAGTGACACCTCACGCAACTTGTAAATAACTGTGAGGCACATTATGCACGGACGGGTGAGGTGAGTCGAGGTACCACCTACTCGGCCACCAGCAGCCCACCAACGATGCCCTTTACCACATCCACATGCCCCATGCCCATGGCCATACGCCCGTGCCTTGCTGTGCAATGCAGCCCAGTGCACTGGCAAGCAGCAGCACGCCATGCAAGCTGTGCACTAGCGAGCAGCAGCACGCCATGCAAGCTGTGCACTAGCGAGCATGCCTTGCGGTGGCGCGGGCAGTGGTGGTGGCAGCAGCGGCGGAGGCAGTGGTGGTGGCGGTGGGGGAGGCAGCAGCAGCCGCAGCGGCAGCCTCGTTCAGTTGCTGCTGCTGCCTCGCCCTCACCCCCTCCACGTGCTGCTGCCGCCCCACGCCCCCTGCCCGCTTGATGAGCCCCACGGGAAACCTCCTGCGCCGGCTGCGTGCCGCCACCCACCTGCCAGGCACGGGGGAGACGAGGAGGGGTGAGGACGGGAGGGAGGAGGGGGGGCGAGGAGGGGCGGCGAGGAGGCAAGGGGGGAGGGATGTGAGGGAAGGTGATGGTGGGAGGGTGGTGAAGGCGTCATGAGTGCAGGGAGCGATGAAGGGGACTTGAGGCATGCCGGTGCAAAGACAAGCAAGAGCATGCGAGGGAACATGTGAAGGGGGAAGGGGGGAGGAGGGAGGAAGGAGGACGGGGGGAGGGAGGGGGGGGGGTGTGGGAGGCGGACTGACCGCATGTAGGTGAGGCCAGCAGTGAGCACGAGCCCACACACCATCCACACCACGTTGCCTCCAAACGGCCTCCCCCCCTCGCCGCCCGCCCACTGCTCCCACCACCCACTGCCCTCCTCGTCCCTCTCCTCCTCCTCGCCGCTCCCCTTCTCCCCTTTCCCCCCTGCCCTCTTGTGCCCCCCCCTCACAACAGCAGCAGCAGAAGGGAGTGTGCTGTCAAAGCACACCCTCTCCTCCCCCTCCTCGCCTTCTCTCCCCCCCATCTCCTCCCCTCGCCCCCTTCTCCTATCCACCCCCGCCCCGTGCGAGTCGGGCAGCCAATCAAAGCCCGCCAGCTGGCAGAACTGGCGGCCGGAGGAGGCAAGGGAGTCGGCCCGTGCACAGAGCGTGTCGCGGCGGCCACAGGGGAAAATGTGCTGCCGGGGGGGGGAGCGGAGGAGGGTGGGGGTGGAGGAATGGGGGAGGGGGTGATGGGAGGGAAGAGGGTGATGGTGGGCTGGAAGGGGAGAGACGAGGGAAAGATGGTTTGGGGCGGAGGAATAAAGAGAGTCAAATGGGGAGAGAGAATGATGGGATTCATACCCGTACCCTCTATAGTACAACCCAGCATAGAGGATGGGATTCATTCAGAAAGGAGTCAAATGGAAAGAGAAGAGATGATGATGCAGAAGCCAAGACTACCTGAAAAATTACCTGGAGCACCTGAGAGTAACTACCTGTGAAGTGCCGTCCGCTGCGAAGAATGCCGCCCCGCAGGCAGAAAAGACGGCATCGCAGAACGAGTTGCAGATGGCGGGTGGCCCGTGCTGTGTGCCAATGAGGGGGTGACACGTGGCACACTGCAGCGCCTCCCACTTGGCAACGCAGTCGTCCGTGGGCTCCCCCCCCACCACCAGCCGCCTGGGGGAGGACAGGCGAGGAGGGGGGGAGGGCAGGGCAAGGCGGGGGGAGGGCAGGGCAAGGCAGGGGGAAGGCAAAAAGGGGGGAGTGCAAGGGGAGGCGGGGGAAGGGCAAAGGGGGGCAGCAGGCAGTGGCAGCGGCAAAGGTAGGGAGCAGAGGGGGACGGGGAGGGGGCATATGCAATAAGCAAAGAGCGGCACGGGGAGGGGGGAGAAGGGACATGATAAGGGAATCGACGCAAGCAGGCACCGCACAGCACAGTCCCTCACCTCCCCCCACCATGTGCCCTCCCCCCACCACGTGTCCTCCCCCCACCACGTGCCCTCCCCCCACCACGTGCCCTCCCCTCGGTCCAGATGTGCTTCTGCCAGCAGCTCAATCCTAGGGGCGCACCAAAGCGCCCTTCCACCCATGTGCCTCCGCTTCCTCCCCCCCTCTTCCCCCTCCTCCCTCTTCCCCCCTCCCCTCTTCCCCCCTCCCCTCTCCCCCCCTCCTCCCTCTTTCCTCTCTCCCCCTTGCGCGGCTCTCACCGGGTGGAGATGAGAGCGTGGTCGCTGTTATCGCGTCCGCAGCACGTGCTATCCTTGTACACGCGGCACAGCGTCAGCTCCTGCGCGCCGCCCTTCGGGCTCTTTCGTGGAAGCTTCCCGTGCAGCCAGAAGGGCGGCCACTGCCCACCCTGCGATATGCAGCGCCCGGGGGGGACTGCGTGGGGGGAGAGTGGGGGAAGGGGGGGTGTAGGAGAGAAAGGGGAGGAGGGAGGGGAGGAAGGGAAGGGGGAGGTGGGGGAAAAGGAAAGTGGGGGGGGGGGGGAAGGTAAAGGGAGCGAGCAGAGAACGGCGGTAGGGGCGAGATGCGGACGAGAAGCGGACGAGATGCGGACGAGATGTGGATGAGATGCGGACGAGATGCGGACGAGATGCGGACGAGACGGGGGCCGGGAGGCTAGGAAGGCAAGGAAGCGAGTTGGGGAGGGAAGGCGGCGGCGGGGTGGACGGGGAAGCATAGCTTGTATGACAGGATGGGTCGTAAGGTGCGGCAATTGAGGGAGCGGTGGTTGGGCGGTGAATCGGGAAGTAGAGTGATGTGGTGCGAGGGGGATGAGCGGGACGGCGGGGATGCTAGGCGGAGGGCGCGAGAGGCTGGTGCCACTCCACGCGCTCTCCGATGCATGCGGGACAACCGCCGCACGGAGTTAGAGCGATTCGGCAAGTGGAGAGCAGAGAGGAGAGAGGAGAGGAAAGACTAGCCGAGAGGGGAGAGGCTGGCGATCGCGCAATTGGGATCGAGAGGCGAAAGCAGCACGACGAACCTGTCGAATTCGATTTACGTGACTCGCTAGAGACGCGGCGCGTTATTTCGGCGGTTTCAGCGGCGAGGGAGAGTGACGGTAGCAACGATGCGGCGATAACAATCACCGCGCACGCGCGCGCACATCGCGACGACGAACGGCGATCCGCCATGAGTACTCTCTCATCGCAATTCTGCGGCCGGCGGGCTGCCGGCCGGCACGGAGGCTTGAGCATCGCGAAAGTGCCAGCTGGCAGTGACGTGTTGGTCAAGTGAATGTCGAACAGGATGGCGTGACGAATGTGATCGGCGATGGATTTTCAGAGGGCTCCCGAACTCTGCTCGGGCTGTGATTGGTTGGAGATGCGAATTTCATCCGCGCTATATGATTCGATCAGCGTCACAGTGAACTGCACAAAGAGAACTGAGTACAGTTGCATCCCGTCTTACAAATGCAATGCAGGCTAAATTCGTCTACGCGTCTTTTTAATGGGCTGCACAACAGCACGCTCACTTGCACTATCGCTCGGCGCACATTGCGAGTGGGTCTGAATAACCACTGCTGCGGGCCGCAACACCGCTGGAACTGCCCCGGCATCACAAGCACCCTCACCTACACCCTCCGGTTCCCCTCCCTGTGCCATGCCTTGAACCAGGCTCGCAGTGCAATGCGCGTGTGCCTCCCTGGTGTGAATGTGCCCCGTGCCTTGTAGACCACGGTCGTGTGCACTCCCAATCCCGTGCTCCGATGCCCCGCAGTCCCTCACAGGACTGCCCACCTGCAGTGGTGGATGGATGGCATGTGAGCGGCGCAAAAGTGATGGGGGGCATGCACGGCATGGGGTACGATGGCGAGAGGTCGTCGCAGTGTGGAAGTGGCACGATGGACGAATACAGTTGTGAGCGACACGAGGAATACTTAGGTGCAAATAAATCAAAGGGTTAATGGGAGAGGGGAGAGGGGAGGGGGAGGGGGAGATGAGGGCAAGGAGTGGGGAAGAAGGCGATAAGGTGAAGGGCAGAGGTAGGAGGGCGAACGGGCGACGTACAATGGGCGGGGAGTTGTGGGGATGTGGCGGGGCATGCAGTGCAGAGAGGTGTGATCGCACGCGAGGCACAGCAGCGTCCATGGAGGGCACTCCCAAGAAGAGCGGAGACTGGGGGGTGGTGCTGCTGCTGCTGCCACACTGCTGGGTGCTGCCGCTGCTGGGAGGGGTGCTGCAGGCCTGCCTGCTGCTCGGTAAAGTGATCACGTCCGTGCTGGTGTCTGTGTCAACTGCGCTGCTGCTGGCAGCTGTTGCCACGTGTTGCTCATGTGACTGGGCGGGCTGCTGATGTGGCTGGGCGGGCTGCTGATGTGGCTGGGTGGGCTGCAAGCGTGAGCGAGGAGTGTGAGCTGTGACGGCGGAGAGAAGCAGAGGTGGTGCCTGAGGGAGGGAGGGTGGGGAGAAGAAGAACCGAGTTACATGGTCAAGATGGCAACGTGCCTTGCACTGCATGGCTGCACTGCATGGAGAGGCCAGCTCTAGAGTCCACACGGTGTGTGGTGCATGCTTGGGGGGTAGCGTGTAGTGAAGGTGGTGCCATTCAGGTGACGCAACGAGCAGTGAGTGCGACAGCAGGGGGGCACACCTGGGGACGCGGTGGTGGAAGGGGCGTCAGTGCCGGGATGCTGCCTGGCGGGATGCTGCCTGGTGGGATGCTGCCTGCTCGTGCTGATACTGCTGCTACTACTGGCGCTGCTGCTCTTGATGCTGAGACTGCGCCCGGTGAAGCTGCTGCTGCTGCTGCTGCTGCTGCTTGCTGCTGCTGCTGCCGCATGTGTCCCTGGGTCACCCATCCCTGGGGGCGCCTCTCCGTGCCTCGCCCTGCTGTCATCCCGCCCTCCACCCGCCTGCCAGCGCGCCTGCTCCTCCGCCAGCCCTGCCAGCCACGGATACCCAGCAGTGAGGCAGCATGGCAGAGCGGTTTCAGGCATCAATGCGTGGTTTGCTGCCACACTCACCTTGTCCCATCTCACCTTGTCCCATCTCACCTTGTCCCATCTCACCTTGTCCCATCTCACCTTGTCCCATCTCACCTTGTCCCATCTCACCTTGTCCCATCTCACCTTGTCCCATCTCACCTTGTCCCATCTCACCTTGTCCCATCTCACCTTGTCCCATCTCACCTTGTCCCATCTCACCTTGTCCCATCTCACCTTGTCCCATCTCACCTTGTCCCATCTCACCTTGTCCCATCTCACCTTGTCCCATCTCACCTTGTCCCATCTCACCTTGTCCCATCTCACCTTGTCCCATCTCACCTTGTCCCATCTCACCTTGTCCCATCTCACCTTGTCCCATCTCACCTTGTCCCATCTCACCTTGTCCCATCTCACCTTGTCCCATCTCACCTTGTCCCATCTCACCTTGTCCCATCTCACCTTGTCCCATCTCACCTTGTCCCATCTCACCTTGTCCCATCTCACCTTGTCCCATCTCACCTTGTCCCATCTCACCTTGTCCCATCTCACCTTGTCCCATCTCACCTTGTCCCATCTCACCTTGTCCCATCTCACCTTGTCCCATCTCACCTTGTCCCATCTCACCTTGTCCCATCTCACCTTGTCCCATCTCACCTTGTCCCATCTCACCTTGTCCCATCTCACCTTGTCCCATCTCACCTTGTCCCATCTCACCTTGTCCCATCTCACCTTGTCCCATCTCACCTTGTCCCATCTCACCTTGTCCCATCTCACCTTGTCCCATCTCACCTTGTCCCATCTCACCTTGTCCCATCTCACCTTGTCCCATCTCACCTTGTCCCATCTCACCTTGTCCCATCTCACCTTGTCCCATCTCACCTTGTCCCATCTCACCTTGTCCCATCTCACCTTGTCCCATCTCACCTTGTCCCATCTCACCTTGTCCCATCTCACCTTGTCCCATCTCACCTTGTCCCATCTCACCTTGTCCCATCTCACCTTGTCCCATCTCACCTTGTCCCATCTCACCTTGTCCCATCTCACCTTGTCCCATCTCACCTTGTCCCATCTCACCTTGTCCCATCTCACCTTGTCCCATCTCACCTTGTCCCATCTCACCTTGTCCCATCTCACCTTGTCCCATCTCACCTTGTCCCATCTCACCTTGTCCCATCTCACCTTGTCCCATCTCACCTTGTCCCATCTCACCTTGTCCCATCTCACCTTGTCCCATCTCACCTTGTCCCATCTCACCTTGTCCCATCTCACCTTGTCCCATCTCACCTTGTCCCATCTCACCTTGTCCCATCTCACCTTGTCCCATCTCACCTTGTCCCATCTCACCTTGTCCCATCTCACCTTGTCCCATCTCACCTTGTCCCATCTCACCTTGTCCCATCTCACCTTGTCCCATCTCACCTTGTCCCATCTCACCTTGTCCCATCTCACCTTGTCCCATCTCACCTTGTCCCATCTCACCTTGTCCCATCTCACCTTGTCCCATCTCACCTTGTCCCATCTCACCTTGTCCCATCTCACCTTGTCCCATCTCACCTTGTCCCATCTCACCTTGTCCCATCTCACCTTGTCCCATCTCACCTTGTCCCATCTCACCTTGTCCCATCTCACCTTGTCCCATCTCACCTTGTCCCATCTCACCTTGTCCCATCTCACCTTGTCCCATCTCACCTTGTCCCATCTCACCTTGTCCCATCTCACCTTGTCCCATCTCACCTTGTCCCATCTCACCTTGTCCCATCTCACCTTGTCCCATCTCACCTTGTCCCATCTCACCTTGTCCCATCTCACCTTGTCCCATCTCACCTTGTCCCATCTCACCTTGTCCCATCTCACCTTGTCCCATCTCACCTTGTCCCATCTCACCTTGTCCCATCTCACCTTGTCCCATCTCACCTTGTCCCATCTCACCTTGTCCCATCTCACCTTGTCCCATCTCACCTTGTCCCATCTCACCTTGTCCCATCTCACCTTGTCCCATCTCACCTTGTCCCATCTCACCTTGTCCCATCTCACCTTGTCCCATCTCACCTTGTCCCATCTCACCTTGTCCCATCTCACCTTGTCCCATCTCACCTTGTCCCATCTCACCTTGTCCCATCTCACCTTGTCCCATCTCACCTTGTCCCATCTCACCTTGTCCCATCTCACCTTGTCCCATCTCACCTTGTCCCATCTCACCTTGTCCCATCTCACCTTGTCCCATCTCACCTTGTCCCATCTCACCTTGTCCCATCTCACCTTGTCCCATCTCACCTTGTCCCATCTCACCTTGTCCCATCTCACCTTGTCCCATCTCACCTTGTCCCATCTCACCTTGTCCCATCTCACCTTGTCCCATCTCACCTTGTCCCATCTCACCTTGTCCCATCTCACCTTGTCCCATCTCACCTTGTCCCATCTCACCTTGTCCCATCTCACCTTGTCCCATCTCACCTTGTCCCATCTCACCTTGTCCCATCTCACCTTGTCCCATCTCACCTTGTCCCATCTCACCTTGTCCCATCTCACCTTGTCCCATCTCACCTTGTCCCATCTCACCTTGTCCCATCTCACCTTGTCCCATCTCACCTTGTCCCATCTCACCTTGTCCCATCTCACCTTGTCCCATCTCACCTTGTCCCATCTCACCTTGTCCCATCTCACCTTGTCCCATCTCACCTTGTCCCATCTCACCTTGTCCCATCTCACCTTGTCCCATCTCACCTTGTCCCATCTCACCTTGTCCCATCTCACCTTGTCCCATCTCACCTTGTCCCATCTCACCTTGTCCCATCTCACCTTGTCCCATCTCACCTTGTCCCATCTCACCTTGTCCCATCTCACCTTGTCCCATCTCACCTTGTCCCATCTCACCTTGTCCCATCTCACCTTGTCCCATCTCACCTTGTCCCATCTCACCTTGTCCCATCTCACCTTGTCCCATCTCACCTTGTCCCATCTCACCTTGTCCCATCTCACCTTGTCCCATCTCACCTTGTCCCATCTCACCTTGTCCCATCTCACCTTGTCCCATCTCACCTTGTCCCATCTCACCTTGTCCCATCTCACCTTGTCCCATCTCACCTTGTCCCATCTCACCTTGTCCCATCTCACCTTGTCCCATCTCACCTTGTCCCATCTCACCTTGTCCCATCTCACCTTGTCCCATCTCACCTTGTCCCATCTCACCTTGTCCCATCTCACCTTGTCCCATCTCACCTTGTCCCATCTCACCTTGTCCCATCTCACCTTGTCCCATCTCACCTTGTCCCATCTCACCTTGTCCCATCTCACCTTGTCCCATCTCACCTTGTCCCATCTCACCTTGTCCCATCTCACCTTGTCCCATCTCACCTTGTCCCATCTCACCTTGTCCCATCTCACCTTGTCCCATCTCACCTTGTCCCATCTCACCTTGTCCCATCTCACCTTGTCCCATCTCACCTTGTCCCATCTCACCTTGTCCCATCTCACCTTGTCCCATCTCACCTTGTCCCATCTCACCTTGTCCCATCTCACCTTGTCCCATCTCACCTTGTCCCATCTCACCTTGTCCCATCTCACCTTGTCCCATCTCACCTTGTCCCATCTCACCTTGTCCCATCTCACCTTGTCCCATCTCACCTTGTCCCATCTCACCTTGTCCCATCTCACCTTGTCCCATCTCACCTTGTCCCATCTCACCTTGTCCCATCTCACCTTGTCCCATCTCACCTTGTCCCATCTCACCTTGTCCCATCTCACCTTGTCCCATCTCACCTTGTCCCATCTCACCTTGTCCCATCTCACCTTGTCCCATCTCACCTTGTCCCATCTCACCTTGTCCCATCTCACCTTGTCCCATCTCACCTTGTCCCATCTCACCTTGTCCCATCTCACCTTGTCCCATCTCACCTTGTCCCATCTCACCTTGTCCCATCTCACCTTGTCCCATCTCACCTTGTCCCATCTCACCTTGTCCCATCTCACCTTGTCCCATCTCACCTTGTCCCATCTCACCTTGTCCCATCTCACCTTGTCCCATCTCACCTTGTCCCATCTCACCTTGTCCCATCTCACCTTGTCCCATCTCACCTTGTCCCATCTCACCTTGTCCCATCTCACCTTGTCCCATCTCACCTTGTCCCATCTCACCTTGTCCCATCTCACCTTGTCCCATCTCACCTTGTCCCATCTCACCTTGTCCCATCTCACCTTGTCCCATCTCACCTTGTCCCATCTCACCTTGTCCCATCTCACCTTGTCCCATCTCACCTTGTCCCATCTCACCTTGTCCCATCTCACCTTGTCCCATCTCACCTTGTCCCATCTCACCTTGTCCCATCTCACCTTGTCCCATCTCACCTTGTCCCATCTCACCTTGTCCCATCTCACCTTGTCCCATCTCACCTTGTCCCATCTCACCTTGTCCCATCTCACCTTGTCCCATCTCACCTTGTCCCATCTCACCTTGTCCCATCTCACCTTGTCCCATCTCACCTTGTCCCATCTCACCTTGTCCCATCTCACCTTGTCCCATCTCACCTTGTCCCATCTCACCTTGTCCCATCTCACCTTGTCCCATCTCACCTTGTCCCATCTCACCTTGTCCCATCTCACCTTGTCCCATCTCACCTTGTCCCATCTCACCTTGTCCCATCTCACCTTGTCCCATCTCACCTTGTCCCATCTCACCTTGTCCCATCTCACCTTGTCCCATCTCACCTTGTCCCATCTCACCTTGTCCCATCTCACCTTGTCCCATCTCACCTTGTCCCATCTCACCTTGTCCCATCTCACCTTGTCCCATCTCACCTTGTCCCATCTCACCTTGTCCCATCTCACCTTGTCCCATCTCACCTTGTCCCATCTCACCTTGTCCCATCTCACCTTGTCCCATCTCACCTTGTCCCATCTCACCTTGTCCCATCTCACCTTGTCCCATCTCACCTTGTCCCATCTCACCTTGTCCCATCTCACCTTGTCCCATCTCACCTTGTCCCATCTCACCTTGTCCCATCTCACCTTGTCCCATCTCACCTTGTCCCATCTCACCTTGTCCCATCTCACCTTGTCCCATCTCACCTTGTCCCATCTCACCTTGTCCCATCTCACCTTGTCCCATCTCACCTTGTCCCATCTCACCTTGTCCCATCTCACCTTGTCCCATCTCACCTTGTCCCATCTCACCTTGTCCCATCTCACCTTGTCCCATCTCACCTTGTCCCATCTCACCTTGTCCCATCTCACCTTGTCCCATCTCACCTTGTCCCATCTCACCTTGTCCCATCTCACCTTGTCCCATCTCACCTTGTCCCATCTCACCTTGTCCCATCTCACCTTGTCCCATCTCACCTTGTCCCATCTCACCTTGTCCCATCTCACCTTGTCCCATCTCACCTTGTCCCATCTCACCTTGTCCCATCTCACCTTGTCCCATCTCACCTTGTCCCATCTCACCTTGTCCCATCTCACCTTGTCCCATCTCACCTTGTCCCATCTCACCTTGTCCCATCTCACCTTGTCCCATCTCACCTTGTCCCATCTCACCTTGTCCCATCTCACCTTGTCCCATCTCACCTTGTCCCATCTCACCTTGTCCCATCTCACCTTGTCCCATCTCACCTTGTCCCATCTCACCTTGTCCCATCTCACCTTGTCCCATCTCACCTTGTCCCATCTCACCTTGTCCCATCTCACCTTGTCCCATCTCACCTTGTCCCATCTCACCTTGTCCCATCTCACCTTGTCCCATCTCACCTTGTCCCATCTCACCTTGTCCCATCTCACCTTGTCCCATCTCACCTTGTCCCATCTCACCTTGTCCCATCTCACCTTGTCCCATCTCACCTTGTCCCATCTCACCTTGTCCCATCTCACCTTGTCCCATCTCACCTTGTCCCATCTCACCTTGTCCCATCTCACCTTGTCCCATCTCACCTTGTCCCATCTCACCTTGTCCCATCTCACCTTGTCCCATCTCACCTTGTCCCATCTCACCTTGTCCCATCTCACCTTGTCCCATCTCACCTTGTCCCATCTCACCTTGTCCCATCTCACCTTGTCCCATCTCACCTTGTCCCATCTCACCTTGTCCCATCTCACCTTGTCCCATCTCACCTTGTCCCATCTCACCTTGTCCCATCTCACCTTGTCCCATCTCACCTTGTCCCATCTCACCTTGTCCCATCTCACCTTGTCCCATCTCACCTTGTCCCATCTCACCTTGTCCCATCTCACCTTGTCCCATCTCACCTTGTCCCATCTCACCTTGTCCCATCTCACCTTGTCCCATCTCACCTTGTCCCATCTCACCTTGTCCCATCTCACCTTGTCCCATCTCACCTCCTCACACCTTGTCCCATCTCACCTTGTCCCATCTCACCTTGTCCCATCTCACCTTGTCCCATCTCACCTTGTCCCATCTCACCTTGTCCCATCTCACCTTGTCCCATCTCACCTTGTCCCATCTCACCTTGTCCCATCTCACCTTGTCCCATCTCACCTTGTCCCATCTCACCTTGTCCCATCTCACCTTGTCCCATCTCACCTTGTCCCATCTCACCTTGTCCCATCTCACCTTGTCCCATCTCACCTTGTCCCATCTCACCTTGTCCCATCTCACCTTGTCCCATCTCACCTTGTCCCATCTCACCTTGTCCCATCTCACCTTGTCCCATCTCACCTTGTCCCATCTCACCTTGTCCCATCTCACCTTGTCCCATCTCACCTTGTCCCATCTCACCTTGTCCCATCTCACCTTGTCCCATCTCACCTTGTCCCATCTCACCTTGTCCCATCTCACCTTGTCCCATCTCACCTTGTCCCATCTCACCTTGTCCCATCTCACCTTGTCCCATCTCACCTTGTCCCATCTCACCTTGTCCCATCTCACCTTGTCCCATCTCACCTTGTCCCATCTCACCTTGTCCCATCTCACCTTGTCCCATCTCACCTTGTCCCATCTCACCTTGTCCCATCTCACCTTGTCCCATCTCACCTTGTCCCATCTCACCTTGTCCCATCTCACCTTGTCCCATCTCACCTTGTCCCATCTCACCTTGTCCCATCTCACCTTGTCCCATCTCACCTTGTCCCATCTCACCTTGTCCCATCTCACCTTGTCCCATCTCACCTTGTCCCATCTCACCTTGTCCCATCTCACCTTGTCCCATCTCACCTTGTCCCATCTCACCTTGTCCCATCTCACCTTGTCCCATCTCACCTTGTCCCATCTCACCTTGTCCCATCTCACCTTGTCCCATCTCACCTTGTCCCATCTCACCTTGTCCCATCTCACCTTGTCCCATCTCACCTTGTCCCATCTCACCTTGTCCCCCCCGTCCCATCTCACCTTGTCCCATCTCACCTTGTCCCATCCCATCACTCACCTTGTCCCATCTCACCTTGTCCCATCTCACCTTGTCCCATCTCACCTTGTCCCATCTCACCTTGTCCCATCTCACCTTGTCCCATCTCACCCTGTCCTCCCATCTCACCTTGTCCCATCTCACCTTGTCCCATCTCACCTTGTCCCATCTCACCTTGTCCCATCTCACCTTGTCCCATCTCACCTTGTCCCATCTCACCTTGTCCCATCTCACCTTGTCCCATCTCACCTTGTCCCATCTCACCTTGTCCCATCTCACCTTGTCCCATCTCACCTTGTCCCATCTCACCTTGTCCCATCTCACCTTGTCCCATCTCACCTTGTCCCATCTCACCTTGTCCCATCTCACCTTGTCCCATCTCACCTTGTCCCATCTCACCTTGTCCCATCTCACCTTGTCCATCTCACCTTGTCCCATCTCACCTTGTCCCATCTCACCTTGTCCCATCTCACCTTGTCCCATCTCACCTTGTCCCATCTCACCTTGTCCCATCTCACCTTGTCCCATCTCACCTTGTCCCATCTCACCTTGTCCCATCTCACCTTGTCCCATCTCACCTTGTCCCATCTCACCTTGTCCCATCTCACCTTGTCCCATCTCACCTTGTCCCATCTCACCTTGTCCCATCTCACCTTGTCCCATCTCACCTTGTCCCATCTCACCTTGTCCCATCTCACCTTGTCCCATCTCACCTTGTCCCATCTCACCTTGTCCCATCTCACCTTGTCCCATCTCACCTTGTCCCATCTCACCTTGTCCATCTCTCACCCATGTGTCCCATCTCACCTTGTCCCTCTCACCTTGTCCCATCTCACTTGTCCCATCTCACCTTGTCCCATCTCACCTTGTCCCCATCTTGTCAGTCACCATCTTGTCCCATCTCACCTTGTCCCATCTCACCTTGTCCCATCTCACCTTGTCCCATCTCACCTTGTATTCCCTCACCTTCCACCTCATTTCCCCATCTCACCTTGTCCCATCTCACCTTGTCCCATCTCACCTTGTCCCATCTCACCTTGTCCATCTCACCTTGTCCCATCTCACCTTGTCCCATCTCACCTTGTCCCATCTCACCTTGTCCCATCTCACCTTGTCCCATCTCACCTTGTCCCATCTCACCTTGTCCCATCTCACCTTGTCCCATCTCACCTTGTCCCATCTCACCTTGTCCCATCTCACCTTGTCCCATCTCACCTTGTCCCATCTCACCTTGTCCCATCTCACCTTGTCCCATCTCACCTTGTCCCATCTCACCTTGTCCCATCTCACCTTGTCCCATCTCACCTTGTCCCATCTCACCTTGTCCCATCTCACCTTGTCCCATCTCACCTTGTCCCATCTCACCTTGTCCCATCTCACCTTGTCCCATCTCACCTTGTCCCATCTCATCACTTGTCCCATCTCACCTTGTCCCATCTCACCTTGTCCCATCTCACCTTGTCCCATCTCACCTTGTCCCATCTCACCTTGTCCCATTGTCCCATCTCACCTTGTCCCATCACCTCACACCCTTGTCCCATCTCACCTTGTCCCATCTCACCTTGTCCCATCTCACCTTGTCCCATCTCACCTTGTCCCATCTCACCTTGTCCCATCTCACCTTGTCCCATCTCACCTTGTCCCATCTCACCTTGTCCCATCTCACCTTGTCCCATCTCACCTTGTCCCATCTCACCTTGTCCCATCTCACCTTGTCCCATCTCACCTTGTCCCATCTCACCTTGTCCCATCTCACCTTGTCCCATCTCACCTTGTCCCATCTCACCTTGTCCATCTCACCTTGTCCCATCTCACCTTGTCCCATCTCACCTTGTCCCATCTCACCTTGTCCCATCTCACCTTGTCCCATCTCACCTTGTCCCATCTCACCTTGTCCCATCTCACCTTGTCCCATCTCACCTTGTCCCATCTCACCTTGTCCCATCTCACCTTGTCCCATCTCACCTTGTCCCATCTCACCTTGTCCCATCTCACCTTGTCCCATCTCACCTTGTCCCATCTCACCTTGTCCCATCTCACCTTGTCCCATCTCACCTTGTCCCATCTCACCTTGTCCCATCTCACCTTGTCCCATCTCACCTTGTCCCATCTCACCTTGTCCCATCTCACCTTGTCCCATCTCACCTTGTCCCATCTCACCTTGTCCCATCTCACCTTGTCCCATCTCATCCCATCTCACCTTGTCCCATCTCACCTTGTCCCATCTCACACCTGTCCCATCTCACCTTGTCCCATCTCACCTTGTCCCATCTCACCTTGTCCCATCTCACCTTGTCCCATCACTTGTCCCATCTCACCTTGTCCCATCTCACCTTGTCCCATCTCACCTTGTCCCATCTCACCTTGTCCCATCTCACCTTGTCCCATCTCACCTTGTCCCATCTCACCTTGTCCCATCTCACCTTGTCCCATCTCACCTTGTCCCATCTCACCTTGTCCCATCTCACCTTGTCCCATCTCACCTTGTCCATCTCACCTTGTCCCATCTCACCTTGTCCCATCTCACCTTGTCCCATCTCACCTTGTCCCATCTCACCTTGTCCCATCTCACCTTGTCCCATCTCACCTTGTCCCATCTCACCTTGTCCCATCTCACCTTGTCCCATCTCACCTTGTCCCATCTCACCTTGTCCCATCTCACCTTGTCCCATCTCACCTTGTCCCATCTCACCTTGTCCCATCTCACCTTGTCCCATCTCACCTTGTCCCATCTCACCTTGTCCCATCTCACCTTGTCCCATCTCACCTTGTCCCATCTCACCTTGTCCCATCTCACCTTGTCCCATCTCACCTTGTCCCATCTCACCTTGTCCCATCTCACCTTGTCCCATCTCACCTTGTCCCATCTCACCTTGTCCCATCTCACCTTGTCCCATCTCACCTTGTCCCATCTCACCTTGTCCCATCTCACCTTGTCCCATCTCACCTTGTCCCATCTCACCTTGTCCCATCTCACCTTGTCCCATCTCACCTTGTCCCATCTCACCTTGTCCCATCTCACCTTGTCCCATCTCACCTTGTCCCATCTCACCTTGTCCCATCTCACCTTGTCCCATCTCACCTTGTCCCATCTCACCTTGTCCCATCTCACCTTGTCCCATCTCACCTTGTCCCATCTCACCTTGTCCCATCTCACCTTGTCCCATCTCACCTTGTCCCATCTCACCTTGTCCCATCTCACCTTGTCCCATCTCACCTTGTCCCATCTCACCTTGTCCCATCTCACCTTGTCCCATCTCACCTTGTCCCATCTCACCTTGTCCCATCTCTCACACTTGTCCCATCTCACCTTGTCCCATCTCACCTTGTCCCATCTCACCTTGTCCCATCTCACCTTGTCCCATCTCACCTTGTCCCATCTCACCTTGTCCCATCTCACCTTGTCCCATCTCACCTTGTCCCATCTCACCTTGTCCCATCTCACCTTGTCCCATCTCACCTTGTCCCATCTCACCTTGTCCCATCTCACCTTGTCCCATCTCACCTTGTCCCATCTCACCTTGTCCCATCTCACCTTGTCCCATCTCACCTTGTCCCATCTCACCTTGTCCCATCTCACCTTGTCCCATCTCACCTTGTCCCATCTCACCTTGTCCCATCTCACCTTGTCCCATCTCACCTTGTCCCATCTCACCTTGTCCCATCTCACCTTGTCCCATCTCACCTTGTCCCATCTCACCTTGTCCCATCTCACCTTGTCCCATCTCACCTTGTCCCATCTCACCTTGTCCCATCTCACCTTGTCCCATCTCACCTTGTCCCATCTCACCTTGTCCCATCTCACCTTGTCCCATCTCACCTTGTCCCATCTCACCTTGTCCCATCTCACCTTGTCCCATCTCACCTTGTCCCATCTCACCTTGTCCCATCTCACCTTGTCCCATCTCACCTTGTCCCATCTCACCTTGTCCCATCTCACCTTGTCCCATCTCACCTTGTCCCATCTCACCTTGTCCCATCTCACCTTGTCCCATCTCACCTTGTCCCATCTCACCTTGTCCCATCTCACCTTGTCCCATCTCACCTTGTCCCATCTCACCTTGTCCCATCTCACCTTGTCCCATCTCACCTTGTCCCATCTCACCTTGTCCCATCTCACCTTGTCCCATCTCACCTTGTCCCATCTCACCTTGTCCCATCTCACCTTGTCCCATCTCACCTTGTCCCATCTCACCTTGTCCCATCTCACCTTGTCCCATCTCACCTTGTCCCATCTCACCTTGTCCCATCTCACCTTGTCCCATCTCACCTTGTCCCATCTCACCTTGTCCCATCTCACCTTGTCCCATCTCACCTTGTCCCATCTCACCTTGTCCCATCTCACCTTGTCCCATCTCACCTTGTCCCATCTCACCTTGTCCCATCTCACCTTGTCCCATCTCACCTTGTCCCATCTCACCTTGTCCCATCTCACGCAACCTCTTCGCTCCTCTCGCTCCATCTCGCCTCCTCTATGACTACTTTTCTGTTCCCTCTCCAACCCCACCTCCTTTTCCCCCCTCCTCCCCCCCTCTCCCCTCCCACCCACCCAGCCCAAACCCCACTCCTCCACTTCGAAAATCCTCGTAATCCCCCCCACTCCCCCCCCCTTCCCTGTACACCTCACCCCCCATCTCTCACGTCGGCAACGGACGGCCACGATTCGCCGTCGCTCCTCCAGCTTTGCCCACGTGTCCTCCATCGTCTCGTGCCCGGGCAGGTACGAAACTTTCAATGCGCTGCCCATGAATGGATACTCATCCAGCTTTCTCTTTGCGAACCTGGGCAGTGCAAAGGAACAGACAGCATGGAGTGAGACACAATGAGAGGAGGAAGGGCATGTGGAGGGGCATGGTGCTTGACGATTCATGCAAGCCAAGCACACAGCACTGAGAATATACATAGATTGCCATGCACTGCAATGAACAATTGAATCTCCAAAATTTCTGTGGATTCAATCTCATGCATGCATCACCTGGCATGCATCACCTGGCATGCATCACATGGCATGCATCACCTGGCATGCATCACCTGGCATGCATCACCTGGCATGGTGCAGGTGGGTGAATTTGAGCCACACGACGTCGGTGAAGGGAGGGGCGTCTTCCTCGTCCATCATGCGATGCCTGCCATGCCATGCCATGCCATGCCATATGGTGCCGTGATGGGGTGATCGCACAGCAGCATGGTGGCATGGTGGGATGATTAAGAAATGCATGCCTAATTGGTAGACAAGGCAACGGCAGGTGATGATGCCATGCCATGATACAGAAGGTGGCGTTGGCTCACATTCCCCCCCACTCAGCCCCCCCCCAACTCACTCCCTTCCCACTCATTCCACCCCACTCACTCCATCCACCCCCACTCACTCGCCCCCCACTCACTCCTGCACAACTCACTCCTCGATGGGCCCATGTGCGGAGAACAGCCGCAGTAAGTCACCCACACACCCCAGCGCTGGCACGTTGCGCACCATCAGGTACCTGCAGCGAACGGTGCGATGGGGAGCGGTGCGATGGAGAGCGGTGCGATGGGGAGCGGTGCGATGGAGAGCGGTGCGATGGAGAGCAGTGCGATGGTGAGGCGTGTGATGGCACAAAGCACAGCCACAAGAGGTGGGCAATCGGGTGTGGTTACTGCCGGAGATACACACATGACTGTGTAGAGAAACATCCATCCTATTCCATCCCATCCCATCCCATCCCATCCCATCCCATCCCATCCCACACCACAGTACCCCACCGCACCTCGACTCATCGTTCACAGTGTAAACGCGCACAGCCCTCTCTCGCCTCCCCGCCCGATACTCCGCGCGCGTGTGGCACACTTTGTCGTCTTCCTCCTCCTCGCCGTCCCACATGGCTTCGGCAGCGGCGGAAGAAGCGGCAGTTACGGCGGCGGAAGAAGCGGCAGTTACGGCGGAAGAAGCGGCAGTTACGGCGGAAGAAGCGGCAGCTACGGCAGAAGAAGCGGCAGTTACGCGGCGCAGGGCAGCTTTCGGCGCTTCACCAAAGAGGAGAGCAGGACAGCGGGGGAGAAGGAGAAACAGCGCGCAAGGTCCCGCGTCCGCGATCTGGCCTAGAGATCTCCGAGCGTGGCGGCGCTTCTGAGTCCACTGAAAAGGCGGAACCTCGCGGTGACGGTGGTGACGTGGCGCGACTACGAATCCACGTCAGCACTCAATGATCACTTCCTTGAACATGCAGCGTCACTGAGGTGATATGGAATCCGACCTGGCTTGACCCGAAGCTCGCGCTTTTCCCGTGACCCTCGGCTTCCGCAACCCTCGGATCGGCCCAGCCTACGCATCTCAGTTGGATTCGCGGCAGCGGGCTAGACTCGACTTTTTCGTATTCCCATCCGCACTAGCGCGTGGCATAGCCGCAATATCAGTTTCTGTTGAAGCGGTTCGTCTCGCGTGCCTGAACAACGCAGGATTCAGGGCGAGGCGAGCATGGTACAAGAGATCAGATCAGACAGATAAACAAGACTGACCTCGGGTCAACAGACGGCCCCATCAGAGCAGTGCAGGACTGCAAAAATGTCGTCAAAATCAACCGGGCTGACCGAGGTGGAAGAGGGGGTTAGGGATCTGGTAACCATCCGACCCCGTTTTGGAAACAAATTTTCGTTCGAGCCCAGATTTGCAGTGCGGTGCGGACATTTTTACCAGAAAGCCACCTGCGACACTGTGCGAAGCAGCATTAGGTAACGTAACATCGCAACTTGCCGTTTAGCAGATAATATACACTACTACCCTACCAACCGACCTCCTCACCCCAACTGCAGGCAGTCGTCTTCACTCGCGCTCCACGCCACGACAAGCCCAAGGCCGGCGAGCCGAAGGTGAGGGGTTTCCCTCCCAGGTAGGCCACTGAAGTTCAGCGGGTAGGAATTCCGACGACTTTGGCGAGTCGCCGATGCTGGTGAATTCGGCGCAAACTCTAAACACGTAGGGAGCCTCGGGTCGGGTAACGGTTAGTATCCGTGGCTTGCGAGAGCCCGTAGCGCTCGAGAAGGCGGAATCCGCTTAAGCCGCGGAACCTCTCATCTCAACTCCGCTCGTGGTACATTTCTCCGCGCGCCGTCGCGCAAACTCGCCGTCGCGCAAACTCTCCGGCGCTGCGCGCTTGCGACTGCTCCGCCATGCGGATTCTAGTGACAGGAGCCACGGGCTTCCTAGGCACGGCGCTTGTAGCGCGGCTCGTTGAAGTGGGACACAATGTGAGGCTCCGTTATTGGCTGGTTCGCTATAACACCCATGTCATGCTAGACATATGCGTGTATATGATGAGTGCAAAGGGTAGGCAATTAAGTGCCGTTTGGGGTCTCGTGTGAGCAGCAGCGCGCCATATTGGCTGCGGCGGAGGGCTGCGAGGCGGAGTTCCACCTGGCGGCGCTCGTGCAGGCGTGGTGGCCCGACGAACGCGCGTTCCAGCGGGTGAGGCGTTGGAGCGGGTGAGCAGATTAGAAGTGCCAGTAAGAATGGCGGGGCAGTCGTGGGAAGGAAGCGACTTGTTAATCGCCTTAATAGGTGTGGAGAGGTAGGGGACTTGGCGAAGGAAACGGCAAGGGAGCGATGCTGGCGAAAGAGAGGTGAGGGAAGGGCTGAGGGAGGGGCTGAGGGAGGGGCTGCGGGAGGGGCTGCGGGAGGGGCTGAGGGAGGGGCTGCGGGAGGGGCTGCGGGAGGGGCTGAGGGAGGGGCTGAGGGAGGGCTGCGGGAGAGGCTGCGGGAGGGGCTGAGGGAGGGGCTGCGGGAGGGGCTGAGGAGGGGCTGCGGGAGGGGCTGCGGGAGGGGCTGCGGGAGGGGCTGAGGGAGGGGCTGAGGGAGGGGCCTGCGGGAGGGGCTGAGGGAGGGGCTGCGGGAGGGGCTGAGGGAGGGGCTGAGGGAGGGGCTGCGGGAGGGGCTGCGGGAGGGGCTGCGGGAGGGGCTGAGGGAGGGGCTGAGGGAGGGGCTGCGGGAGGGGCTGCGGGAGGGGCTGAGGGAGGGGCTGCGGGAGGGGCTGCGGGAGGGGCTGCGAGAGGGGCTGAGGGAGGGGCTGAGGGAGGGGCTGAGGGAGGGGCTGAGGGAGGGGCTGAGGGAGGGGCTGAGGGAGGGGCTGAGGGAGGGGCTGAGGGAGGGGGTGAGGGAGGGGCTGAGGGAGGGGCTGAGGGAGGGGGTGAGGGAGGGGGAGGGAGGGGCTGAGGGAGGGGCTGAGGGAGGGGGTGAGGGAGGGGCTGAGGGAGGGGCTGAGGGAGGGGCTGAGGGAGGGGCTGAGGGAGGGGCTGAGGGAGGGGCTGAGGGAGGGGCTGAGGGAGGGGCTGAGGGAGGGGCTGAGGGAGGGGCTGAGGGAGAAGGTTCGAGGGTGAAGCGAGTTGGAGCAAGGCGGGGATGAGCGAGGGGATTGCGAGGACGCTTGGGTATTTGCGCCGGGGCCAGGACGCTGGTTGTTGCTGCCCACACCGCATGGCAGGGCGCGGCACTGCAGGCGAGGTGTCTGGATGCACGTGGGATGGCGCGGGTGGCTGGATGGGCACGTGGAGGGCGAGGGGTCAGGGAGGGAGCTGTTTAGTGCGAGCAGCAGGAAATGTTGGTGCGACAGGAGAGGATGGCAGTGAGAGGAGTCAGCGAGGGGCTGACATGCGGCCATGCATGCAAGTCAATCCATGACCATCCATGCCGTTCACGCTCCCTGCCCCACGCATGCCATGCCGTACCGTCCCCTTGCCATGCCGTGCCAGGTGAACGTGGGCGGGCTGGAGAACATCTTCAGCGGCTGCGAGAGGCGCCCTCTTTGAGTCGACTCAAAAAGCTGCCCCATGCATGCCATACCATCCCATGCATGCCATACCATCCCATGCATGCCTTCCCATGCATGCCATCCCCCATGCATGCCATCATCATGCATGCCAGCACCATCCCATGCATGCCATCCCATGCATGCCATCCCATGCATGCCATACCATCCTGGGAGACGCAAGCATAGGGTGCAAACCCACAAGCCATGCCTCATCTCGTCCTCCCCCTCGCGCAGGAGCACACTGATCGTGACTTGTGCACGGAGTATGAGCGCACCAAGTGGGCGGCGGACAGACAGAGACGATGGGTGGTGGTGGGTGGTGGGAGACGACCCCAAGCCATGCCTCATCCCGTTCCCCCCGTCACAGGAGCACAAGGGCCGTGACTTCTGCACGGAGTACGAGCGCACCAAGTGGTTGGCAGAGGGTGTGGCGAGGCGGGCGGTGGAGGTTGAGGGACTGGATGTGGTGCTCGTGTACCCGTGTGTCATCTATGGACCCGGCAGGATCAGCGCTTCTAACCTGGTCGTCAAGATGGTGAGAGGCATGGCATGGCATGGCATGGCAGCACGGTGGCAGTGAGATGGCATGGGAGCGAGTGCCATGCGAGGGGGAGGGGCTGCACGTCGTGCTCGTGTACCCGTGTGTCATCTATGGGCCGGGCAGGATCAGCGCTTCTGACCTTGTCGTCAAGATGGTATGTGTCTCGTCTCCTGCTGCCACCCTCCTGGTGAAGATGGTGAGAGGCATGGCATGGCAGCACAGTGGCAGCAGGATGGCATGGCTGCACGTGGTGCTCGTGTACTTGTGCTTGATTTACGGGCCCGGCCGCATCAGCGCTTCTAACCTGGTCGTCAAGATGGTGAGGGGCATGGCATGGCAGCACGCTGGCAACCTCGTTGTCAAGATGGTATGGCGGCAGCTACCAGGTTATGTTGCTTGCAGGTTATATTAACTCTTGTGCGCTCTCCCCGCCCCTCTCTACCCCTGCCCTTCCCCACTCCACCATCCTTCTTGTCGGACTCCTCCTTTCCTTTCCTCCCTCGCTCATGCCTCTCCTCCTTTCCTTTCCCTCCCTCGCTCATGCCTCTCCTCCTTTCCTTTCCCTCCCTCGCTCATGCCTCTCCTCCTTTCCTTTCCCTCCCTCGCTCATGCCTCTCCTCCTTTCCTTTCCCCTCCCTCGCTCATGCCTCTCCTCCTTTCCTTTCCCTCCCTCGCTCATGCCTCTCCTCCTTTCCTTTCCCTCCCTCGCTCATGCCTCTCCTCCTTTCCTTTCCCTCCCTCGCTCATGCCTCTCTCCTTTCCTTTCCCTCCCTCGCTCATGCCTCTCCTCCTTTCCTTTCCCTCCCTCGCTCATGCCTCTCCTCCTTTCCTTTCCCTCCCTCGCTCATGCCTCTCCTCCTTTCCTTTCCCTCCCTCGCTCATGCCTCTCCTCCTTTCCTTTCCCTCCCTCGCTCATGCCTCTCCTCCTTTCCTTTCCCTCCCTCGCTCATGCCTCTCCTCCTTTCCTTTCCCTCCCTCGCTCATGCCTCTCCTCCTTTCCTTTCCCTCCCTCGCTCATGCCTCTCCTCCTTTCCTTTCCCTCCCTCGCTCATGCCTCTCCTCCTTTCCTTTCCCTCCTCGCTCATGCCTCTCCTCCTTTCCTTTCCCTCCCTCGCTCATGCCTCTCCCACCAATGGTTCTTCTCCCACCCTCTTTCCTGCCCCCCTGTCCTCCTCCGTCCCCTTCCACCCCTATGCCACACCTTTTCCCCTCCGATTTCGCACTTGTGTCCCCCATGCCATGCCATGCCATGCCATGCCATGCCATGCCATGCCATGCCATGCCATGCCATGCCATGCCATTCTATCAGATCGCCAACCACTTCCAGGGGCGGCTGCCCGGGCTGGTGGGCAGCGGCACGCGGCTCAACAACTTGGTGCTCGACCACATCAACGACGTGGTCCTCGGCCTGCTCGCCACTCCACTCAGCTCCTGACCGCTTTCAAGGCTGGCTACCCAGGCTTCTGGTCAACTCAAAACTTCCCCGCACCCCTCTCCGCCCATTTCTGTCCGCCGTGCCATGCCATGCTATGCCATCCCATGCCATCCCATGCCGCGCCACATCAGATTGCCGACCACTTCCAGGGCCGCCTGCCCGGGCTGCTGGGCAGCGGCACGTGGCTCAACAACTTTGTGCACGTCAACGTCGTGGTCCTCGGCCTGCTCGCCTCAAACTCCCCTCCTTCCTCCCCCGCCCCGGTTTGCCCGCCATGCCATGCCACCCCCCTCCCCCCCCCTCTGCCCCCCATCCCATGCCATGCCATGCCATGCCACGCCATGCCATGCCATTCTATCAGATCGCCGACCACTTCCAGGGCCGCCTGCCCGGGCTGCTGGGCAGCGGCACGCGCCTCAACAATTTCGTCCACGTCAACGACGTGGTCCTCGGCCTGCTCGCCACCCTCAACCGCGGCACGCCCGGGCGGCGCTACATCTTGGGCGGCGAGAACGCGTCCATGCTGCAGCTGTTCCAGGCTGTGCACCGCGCCACGGGCAAGGCCCCCCCACGGCTGCGCCTGCCGCTGTGGTTGGTGGCGGTGCTGGGGTGGGTGTCCGTGCTGGTCGCTAAAATGGGCGGACCTATTCCGATCTTTACTCACCAGGTGCGTGTGTGTCTTTGCCTGGGGTGGTGGCACGGCATGGGACCATTGATTAGTGTGGGCCACTGAGGTGGTGATTCGGGTGCTTGTCTGGGGTGGATGGCTGGGGGCCTGTGATGGTTGTGACGCAGCTGTTTCCAAGCTGGGCTGCTCCCTGTCGCCCTGCCACCACACCCACGCCCCCTTTCCCCCCATCCAGTCAGTGCGCCAGTTCCACCGTGCCTGGGCGCACAGCTGACTGCATTGTAGCGCTGCCCCCCTTCGTGCGTGCCCCGCTCATCTCGCTCTCTTTCTCTCTCTCCTCTCCCCTCCCTTTCTCCCACCCTTCCTTTCTTCCTCCTCTGCGTGTTCTTCCCTCACCTCTCCACTCAGCCCAACCCTCCCCTCCATGCCCGCTAATCCGCTCTCCCCACTCTTCCTCTCCCCCTCCCTTCCCCCAACCGCCAGTCAGTGCACGCATTCAACCACGACTGGGCGTACAGCAGCGCGCAGGCACAGCAGGACCTCGAGTACTCACCGCTCTCACTGGACGACGGCCTTCGAGACACGCTCACGTGGATGCGAGCAGTGGGGGCCATTAAGTATTAGGGGAGGGGGTGGGCAGGGCAGGGCGTTGGGCATGCATGGTTGAGTGCCAATGTGCCAATGTGCCAACGTGCCATGTGCCATGTGCCACTTGCCATGTGCCATGTGCCATGTGCCATGCCATGTGCCATGTGACCCTAAACCCTCAAGTTCTCGTCCCTCTTGCTGGAGTGGGCATTGGAGACACGCTTAGTGGATGTGTGCAGAGGGGTCTATCTGGTACTAGGGGAGGAGGTGGGCAGGCAGGCAATCAAGTGAACTGCCTCTCTCACTGTGAGGGGCTTCGAGGCACGCACACATGGATGTGTGTGGTGGCTGGCGGTACCAAATGCTTGTGGCATGCATGACGTGTACATGCACCGTGTGAGTAATCTGCAGTTTCTTGCTTTGTTTGTACATTCTGTACATGGACATTTGAATCTGAACCAGCATACCGTATTACACACTGTGATACCATAACTTTCACGGCTGATTTTGCAACCCTTTGTAACCCTTTGGGCTTCAGGCTCTACTCTATACGACACCCCTCAGAACCCTGCTAACCCCTTGGAACCCCCTTTGAACCCCTTGGCAATGACGTATATCTCGCGGGAGGAGGCCCGCGTGGCCTTGGGGCGCAGGCGTGTCACAGATGAGAAGAGCTGCCTGCATGCTGCCACGTACGCTGGAGGTGTTGAGGGAGTGGGGGGGGCGGGGGGGGGGAGTGGGGGATGGGGGACTCAGAGGGTGATGGTTGCGAGCCAATGGTGGTTGGGAAGGAAGGATGGTTGGGTGAGGGCTGGCACAAGGAGTGACGGAAGGAGGAGAGGCGGGAAGGAGGAGAGGCGGGAAGGAGGAGAGGCGGGAAGGAGGAGAGGCGGGAAGGAGGAGAGGGCAAGGTGCCTGCGAGAGGGCAAGGTGCCTGCGAGAGGGCAAGGTGCCTGCGAGAGATTGCGGAACTGGGTGCAGCGCAAGGGCCAGGACGAAGCACAAGTGTTTTTTCCCCCACTCCCCCTTCTCCACCCGTGCGCTGCCCCCACTCTCCCCCCCACCATGCCTGGGGTATCTCCACCCCTGCCCACCCCTGCCCACCTCTGCCCACCACCGCCCACCCATGCCCACCACCATACCTGGAGTGTCGTCACCCTCCAGCAGCTTCACCACCATGTGTCCCCCCACTGCCAGCACACCCCCCTGCGCTGCTAATTCACCCTCCCCACACCCCTCTGCTGATCGCCCCCCCACTTGTTGATCCCCTTGCATACGCGCACTTGGTCCCTCTGCCCACTCCGCTGCTGCTGCTGAGGTCGCCCCTGCTGCTGCCCTCTCTGCTCCTGCTGCTGCTCCGCCCTCTCTTGCTGCTTCCCCTGCGGGTTCCCCTGCACCTGTGCCTCTGCTCCCACCCCCACCAGTGTCAGGATAGGCTGGGTCTGGATGTGAGCGGTTGTGGGCCGATGAGTGTGGGTGTGCACATCGTGTGTGGAATGATTCTGGTGGGGATGCCTGGGAGGTGCGCAGGCCTGAATGCAACAGGTAGGAGCCGTTTTGTTGTGAGTGCGTGCGGTGGTGAGGGTGGGTGCTGTGCGGTTCCGAGTGCGTGTGGAGGGTTGCGCTGCGAGGGCGAGAGCGCGGAGGGCGAGGGAGTGGGAGGCGGCGACGTCAGAGGGGGAGGCGCCCGAGGTGGATGGACACATGTCTGACAGCAGCGTGGTGAAGCGCGGTGAGGGGGATGAGGAGTGGGTCTGGAAGGGGGAAAAGGGGAGGGAAGGGGAGGGATGGAGAGGGATGAGGGATGGAATGGGGATGGAGGGGGAAGAGGAGGGAGGGAGCAGGGGGAGAAGCAGTAAAAAGGGTAGACATGAGATTTGGGGGGCACATGTAAGACAGGAACATGATGAAGTGGGGAGAGGGGAAGGACGGGGGCTGGAGTGGGGGAAGGGGAGGGGTGTGATGAGGATGTTTGGGGTGTGGAGGGAAGACACAAACAGGTGAAAGAGCTGGCGTTGGCATGAGCCAAAAGAACGATGACGGTGCACGGGCATGTGACACAGAGCAGGGTCGTACCCAGTGGCGTGGTGGAGGACAAGTGACAAGAGATGTCTCAAAACAATGCAGGTGGACTGTGGGCGGGCATGTGACACAGAGCAGGGTAGTGCCCATTGGCGTGGTGGAGTACGCATGGGGCTTTCAGGGTGAAGGGAAGGGACGGGGAATGGAAGGAGGGGAGATGCAAGTGAAAGGGTTGGCACAAGAGAAGTGTGGAGTGGCGCCTGGAGGCAGCACCAACACCACAGGTGAGCTGGCAGCAAAGGTGAGCTGGCAGCAAAGGTGAGCTGGCAGCTGTGAACGATACTATGCACATTGCTATTGATGTCCAGGAACAAACGTGCGTGCGAACGAGGTGAGTGCGAGGCGAGGGGAGAGGCGAGGGACGGAGAGGGTAGCAGCAAGGAGCACGGGGAGGCGTGCCTGGAGGGAGGAGAGGAGGCGCAGCAGGAAGAGGGGCGAGACGGCGAAGGCATTGGCCTGGATGGCCCGCACTCGCCTGTCACACCACCGCTGGGGCACCGATGTTGGCTGATGGGAATTGGGGGGAATTGGGGGGAATTGGGGGGAATTGGGGGGAATTGGGGGGAACGGTGGGTGAAGGGGACATGGTGGGAGGGGGTTTGTGGGATGGGATTGAGAAAAAGGGGATTAGTACTAGGAGGTTCATACCTGTGTGGGAAAGATGGGATATTGGAGACCCAAATGAGACGGAAGGGACTAGAGCAGGTAAGGCTGGAAAGGTAGCCGGGCATGCACCTGAATGTCAACGCCAATGACACTCCCGCCTTGACTCATGGGCCCCAGGGCCTGGCACGCCACCTGTCATGTGATGTGATGTGATGTGATGTGATGGGATGTGATGTGATGTGATGTGATGTGATGTGATGTGATGTGATGTGATGTGATGTGATGTGATGTGATGTGATGTGATGTGATGCACGGCAGGGATATGTGCCCATGGAAGGCATGAAAGGCATGGGAGCGAGCACACATGTTGATGGCATTATTTGAGACGACGTGAATGCTGAGGCATGTGAAGGATGGGGCAAGTGAAGGATGGGGTAAGTGAAGGATGGGGCAAGTGGATGATATGATAGCGCACCGCTGCTGATACCCTTGCTGTGCTGTGCTGCCATGCCGCATGCCTCGCATGCTGCAGCAACAGAAATAGCAGCATGCGGCACATGCCCCCCATGGCAGCACATGCCCCCCATGGCAGCACATGCCCCCCATGGCAGCACATGCCCCCCATGGCAGCACATGCCCCCCATGGCACCACAGCACATACACACCATGATATGTACGAGCGGCCATAATGTGGCTATGCAGGCATGCATGCCTCCTCACCTGCATCAGTGATGAGATGACCCCACCACCCGCCCCCACCACCCTCCACCATCACCCTTCCCTATCACCCTTCCCCATCACCCTTCCCCATCACCCATCCCCAGTACGTGCCTGCAGCCATGCCCCCGGGCAGCATCCCAGGTCCAGCACCGCGCCTCCCTTCTTTATCACCGCGTGCCGCCGCTGCACCTCCTGCAGCTGGGGGTGTGGCGGGGGGGAAGCGCACGCGGAAGGGGGGAGAAAGGGAGGGGGAAGAACGGGGGAAGGCGTTGTGTGTGCACTGCACCTCTGCAGCTGTGGGGCCGAGGAGGCGAGGGGAGAGAGGAGCAGGGAGAGGGGAGAGGGGAGAGGGGAGATAGGGTGGGAGGAAGGGATGGGTGAGGGAGGGGCGCGATAAGGGGAACACGGAGGGACGGCGGAGGCATGGGGAGGCATGCAGCGAAATGCAAATCCGCTGCAGCAATTTGCGACCCTGCACCGGCGGAAGGAGGGTGCCCGCGGAGGCAGGCGCGGGAGGGGAAGAGAGCGGCGGAGGCAGGGGAAACGGGGGAATGCAAGCGGTTCCGCCCGTCGACGCGCATGCTGGCCGCGATACCTACTACGACCGCTCTAAGCACGCGGCAACTGCGCTAACGGTACTATTTGCGGACGCGGCTCGAGGGGCATTGATCGACAGTGGACTCCTGAACGCAGCGCTGCGCAAGGGGCGCGCGAGTGTGCACCTTGAACGCGGAGCGCGCCACGTAGCCGAGGCGGCGCGCCTCCTTGAAGAAGAAGTCCTGCGGCGTGAAGCGCGCCATGGCCGCTGCGCATACTGCCAGGAAACGCGACGTAGGGTGGATGTGGGCGGAGGCACACTCAGCGAAGCTTTTGCGGGTGACTGAGATGATAAGTTAGCCATCGAATGATTTCGCGAATGTAGTTACCAAAATACCTTTCCTTGATGATATCTTTCGGCAATGCGTGAACTGCTTGACGCTAAAGACATTCCTGTAGAACGAGTACAAGTAAAGCGAAATTATAGATCATATAAAGAGCAACAGCTAGTACAAATCAATGCATAAGCGATACAAAATAAAAAATCTATGTAGAAGATTCAGCAGCACGAGCAGTTGCGCTGATGCTTATTTGTAGCTCGCCAAAAACAAATCCCTTTTCCGGATGAAAAGAACACCTAAGTCTCTCGGGCGTTGCTTCGCATCCTGCCATCACACTAGGGCCTTCATGAGTGTGAGTGTCTGCACGTGCTCCAGGAAAATGCTCCATGGCCCATCGCCAACAAGAAGTGTGTCACCGTCGCCATCGGTGTAGGTGAGCTGCCAGGGACACGTGGCACTCTCTGAGGGCTGCCCCGGCTGCTGCAGGGGCAGCTGCAGCATGGCTGCACACGTGGCGTACAGCGATTGGAAGCTGCCGATGCCACTCAGGTCCACCGTGCGCATCACCGGGCTTCCCTCCACCCGCAGCTGCGTGAGGGGAGCACAGGGGAGAGGGAGGAGGAAAGAATTCAAGGTGGTGAGGGGGGTGAGAGGGTGTCATACACGTCCATGCATTCATGCAGCCACACAACCATGCAGCCATGCTTCCGCTCACCTCAAACACCTTAAACTCGCAAACTCGCATCGCCTCACCTTAATCCGCCTTCTGTGGGCCGCCCGGGACGGCGAGGGAGACAGCTTGCAGGGCGATGCAGGCTGCTTGGATGGGGAAGCCGTCTGCCCATCCATGCTCTCCGCCCCTGCTGCTGCCGCCCGCTCCCCACTCGCCGCCCGCTCCTCCATTGCCGTGCGCTCAACCTCCCGGCTATTGCTGCTCCTGGGGGTGCCGCCACTGGCAGAGCTGGGGAGGAGGGCAGCGTGAAGAGACAGCCGGGAGGAGCACCCACCGCGCCAGCAGCGCCAGCAGCAGCAGCAGCAGCAGCAGAGCACCAGCATCATGGGATGGGCGTGCGGGGTGCATGGCAAGGTCGCTGTCAAGAGTCTCCGTCCTCTCGGGCCTTTGAAGCCTCTCAGGTCGTTGGGCGTGCAGCAGGCGAGCAACGTCTGACTCGGAGTGGCAGGCATGGCGCAGCACCGGCAACACGAGGCCCGTGGTGCGGCGGCGCTTGAGGCTCGGGGAGGAGTGGTCGGAGGGCGGCGAGGCGGTGGAGGCGGAGAGGCCGAGAGAGAGCGTGAGATGCACCGCCCCTCCCTCCTCCTGCTGCTGCTCCCTCTTCACCCCGCCCTGCCGGGCGCTGGCAGGAGCATAGGCTGTGAAGCCCCCGGGAGCAGTGAGGGTCCGCAGGAAGGCCGGACGAGGTGCGGATGGTGACGCACTGCCGGCACCGGCTGTAGCAGCAGCTGTAGCAGCGGTGGCAGGGGTGGCGGTTGTAGCGGACTCTCGAGACCCGCTGTGCTCCATGGCAGGCTGGGCTTGCGACCAAACCATCGCTTCAGGCTCAGGGTGGCCAGGTTCGGAAGGCAGGGGCCGCGGAGGGAGGGAGTGGTTAGGAAGGAAGGAAGTGAGGGGGTGTGAGAGAGAGGGGCGGCAGAGGAGAGGCGCAGAGGGGTGGGGCCCCAGCTGCCCCCGTCTCCATGCTGTCCCCAGCTGCCCCCGTCTCCATGCTGTCCCGCTGTGAGGGGGACGGCAGGGGTGGCAGCTTGGGAGCAGCGGCAGCAGAGGGAGCAGCTTGGGGAGCAGCAGCAGCAGGGATGGAGAGAGGCGGCGGCAGAGAGAGGGGGGGGGAACGCGGGGCCGAGTGCGACAGCAGAGCAGCGCCGGCAGCAACGGTGGCAATAGGGGGCACAGAGGCGAAGGTGCTGGCAAGGGGGCCGAGCCGGAGGAGACATAGGAGGAGCAGGGCTGGGCGAGGGCGCGGGCATCGTCAAGAAGCCAAGGGGAGAGGCGTGTGGGTTTCACTGCGCCGTCCGTGTCGCCCCACTTGATCTGCACGGAGCGCCAGGGCGAGGAGGGCCACGTGGCAGAGGGCGAGTGGTGCAGCGAGAGCACGGTGCCACGTAGGCGGCGCGTGGCCAGGTCGTCGGTCTCGAGCGTGAGGCGCACCTCGCTGCCCGGCTGTAGCGCCGCCTTCACGTGCAGCCCGCGTGTGAAGTCGGGGAGCGGGATGACGAAGGGCGTTGAGGCGCTCACCCTGCCATGATGTGATGTGGGTGTGGGAAGGAGAGAAGTTAGGAGGAGCGAGGCGTGCCAGCTGAATTGTCAAGGCTGAAAGCTGACTCATGAAGCTGACTCATGAAACTGACTCATGAAGCTGACTGTGCGGCATGATTCAAGCTGGGTCAGAACACTCGCAAGGAGTCTCACCACGGGTGGAAGGTGACGGAGAAGGCAGTGCGGCGGTTGTAGCTGCGAGCAGCGGTGGCCAGCACAGCATCAGCGGACGCCACATCCGAGAGGCCTGGGGATGCTGCGGGGTGTGCCGCGCCAGGGTCAGCCATGCCATCAAGGGACGATCGCTGCGCATGCCGCCGCGCCTGGAGGGCCGCCATGGCCACCTCGCTGCGCCGCACCGCCACCTTGAGTGCACCGTGTCGGTTCCTGTGGAGGTAAGGTTGGGGGGAGAGGGAGGAAAAAGGGCAAGGGGCCCGGTGAGCTGGGTGAGGGATGCACGGCGCTGTGCTGTGACGCCTGGGAGGCGAATCACCTGAAGAAACAGCTGAATTCCACCTGAAGCAACACCTGAGCGCACCTGAGGAAGACGATGCGGTCGCCAGCAGCGAGGCCCCAGGTGGCGGAGAGTGCGCTCCAGCCGGTGGTGAGGAGGTGGCGCTTGGGCGTGCCGCGGTACACGTGGCGGAAGAGCCACTGGTTGCCCAGCACGTCCGTGGCCGTTATGCGCTGCGATGGCACCGACTGCGTCATGTCCTGCACCGCACCACACCACACCGGAGGGAGCACCACACCACACCGGAGGGAGCACCACGCACACACAGAAAGCACGGGAGGAGAGAATTAAGCACGATGCAACGGGAGAGCGCACACACGGACACAGCATGGAGAGGAGCTGAGACATGTGCGCACGACGGTCAAATGAGACACTGAATCATGATTCCACGGCGGACCATCATGGTGACGGAAGCTTGGGCCCCAAGCTTGGGCGCTCCACTCTTCCCGGGGGAGAGGGGGGACATACCAAGTGGGGAAGGCAGGCCTCGGCGGCCTTGCGCGGAATGGAGAAGCCGCCATGGGTGGACGTGTCGCTGGTGGACAGCCGCTTGCAGCTCACGCGGTCCTGCTCCGTGCGCGCGTACAGCACGCGGCTTACGCTCGCCGCCGCGCTCGCGCGCGCTGCCCGCGCCTGCTCCTCCGCCGCCTCCGCCTGCCAAGGGGGACGGTAAAAGCGGAGAGAGAGCCGGAGAGAGAGCGGCCGCAGAGAGGGGTACAAGGGAGTGATGGCTCGGTAAATGACGAAACGCGGACAGCAGATAGGAGAATTGACAGAATTGTGTTCTGTTCAAGTGAATTGACGACAGCGGGAGGAGGAGATGGATGTGGGGAGCGTCGACGCGCGGCGGTACTACCTCTTGGATGGGTTGTAGCTGCATGGTGGCCAGAATCTCGTGCGTCTCCACGTCGATCTGTAGCACCACGGACTCCAGCCGGCAGAACATATGGCTCGGAGGCAGCACGGCTGTAGCAGCGTCACTGCCTTCGTCGTGCGAGCTGCGAGTGTCGCCTTCGCCCGCACCGCTGCCGCTTCCGCTGGCGGAACCGCCGTCTCGCACTGCTGCCGCGGCTGCGGCGGATGCTGAAGGGGCATTGTATGGTGCCGCATGTTGCGGATCCCACTGCCGCTGCGCTTCGTCGGACGCGGCGCAGGACGTGCTTCGGGTCTGCGAAGGAGGGACAAATTTGCACGGCAACGTGTGATTTCCAGCTGAGATCTGTGCAACGTGTGAATCGTGTGAATGAGACCTAGATTCCGAGTATTACCTCAGCCAGTAATTGTTGTTGCTCCACGTGCCCTTCTGGAAAATATACAACGACAGATCCGACGGCTGGGAGTGTCACGAGGGGCCCGGCGCACGCATGCCACAGCTCCACGTCATCAATTGCCCGAACGGTCGCTCCCTGATTCTGCGCCGGCATTTTCGGCGCAAGCGACGGAACTGAGGCGAAATTTGGCGCCGTTTCATCGCCTGAAGAACCGGGAAATGGCACGCGAAGAGGTTCAGCGGCTTGTCGCGACGACGAGTCGCTGGATCCATCATGGCTCCCGCTGTTCAGCGTGAGGGGCGCCGGAAAATTCGGGGAAGGAGCTTTTAACAATTGGACAGAGTCGTCGGACGATTGGCAATGGCTTAAACCGATGGGCTTCCAGAACGAGCCGAGGCGCTGAGGAGGAGAAACGCTGGAGGTAAAGCCTGCGGCATTTCTGACGCTGGTGACACATTGCGGAACAAACGCTGCAGCGGCGTCACTGCTGGTGACAGTGGTAGACATGGCGGTGAGAACGTATGTGATGGGAAGAGAGCATAGAAATGCACAAAATAAATTTACTGGAGTGAAGTTTCAGCTGGGGGCTACCACAAATAGATGTCAGATAAACAAGCTAGGGAGTGGGGAGGGGAAGTGGCTGAAACGGGGGGACAGGAAGAGTGCGCGGAGGCAGGGTGGCTCCGCGGAGAACGAAAGAAATCCCGCCGGGATCACTGTCGCTGGTGTAGTTTGTGTTGACCTGGCTCACGGTCTGCCCGTCAGTATGGCTGTTTTGCACAACCAGAATTTTTTTCTCCAACCCCTTGATTGTCTGGGTTTCCGAGTTCTCTCAGACAGGTACGTCCTTGTTTGGCTGACTTCGGGTTGAATACGTTGATCAAGAGCAAAGTGGTCGTGTTTTATTTCACTTAATATCAGCACATTCTGCAGTGTTGCTTTCGAGATCTGTTTTGATACCACCGTTTCAAGTTATACTGCCTACCTGGGCAGAATGCAAAATGTCTCCAAAGAATGGAACTACCGAGGTGCCCGAAATCAAAGACAACGGAACGGAACCAGGGCTATTGCTAGGATTTCTGCTAGCTCGGACGATCCGGGCCCCTGTGAAAAAGACCCTGTAAAATCCGAGCCAGCGGGAAAAAAACCTTGACGAATCCGGGTTCGAGCGAAAAAAGTCCTGAAAACCTGCATTACCAGAATTTCGCGGGATGGGGGGAATGGTCGAGAAACTCACCGTGGGAATGCAGCACTTTGTAAGGGCTGGGGAGGTTGGAGAGATGGAGAGCGAGGTGAGAGAGAAGGGTGAGAGGGACTTTTTCAGACTTCGAAAATATTCCTTTGGAGATGAAGGTGCGGCTGTAGAGGGAGGGATATTGGACTTAGAAAAATATTTCGGAGGATTTGGAGCGACTCTAGAGGGGAGGACGATAGACTTTGTGTAGACTTAGAACGGGGAAATCAGACACTTGGAGGCAAAACCAGGAGCGGAGCAGTTCGGAACATAAGTGTTGCTTAAACTATCCGGGTCCGCTCGAAAACATCCCGGAGAGAACCGAGCTGTCTCGAGAATCACCCTTCTGTTTTAAGAGCTGGTCTAAAAACTACCTTGTCAAAATCAGGGTTCATCGAAAAAACATCCTTATTTTCAGTCAAAACAGGGTACTTGCCCTGATAACATAGGCCCTGAACGGAACCACAACTGAGACAAGCACTGCTGAGTTCGGTTCAGACGGGGTTCACCCCGCACATCAACCGCCAAGCGTCGCGAGAAACATGGTTCATCACTTCTGTACCCCTCCCGCACAGCCGTCCTGTGAGCAGGGGGCGATGATGAGCGGTGAGCGCCTCCGACCTTCACGTGTTTAGGATGAACGACAACTTCGACTGACAAACCCGCACGGGTGGCTTGGCTTCCCTCCAATTAAAAAACAAAGTTTAGTACAGTACAGAACAAGACGAGTCCGCACTTTCACCTCAGCGGAGCTTGTCCTACTAAAATTGGCTCTTAATGGAGGTTAAGGTCTAGCACACTTAAAGAATCCTCAGATACAGGTCTAGCACACTTAAAGAATCCTCAGAAAATTGAGATTCCAGCGATGCAATGACACACATTTGGACGGCGGATGGCTGAGAACGGAAAAATCCCGCTACTGTAAGGCGAGATCCCTTCCTCCAACCCCAAGTCCCCACGTTCCCTCTTCTCTCCGCTCCTCACTTTCTGTGTGGTGTTTAATCGAACTCATTCGTACCTGGGTACCGAGACAATAATACCTATCACCCTACCCCACCTCGATTTTCCCACTGTTCTTTATGTTGCCTGGGTTTACGGAAGCGACTCGACTCGAACAGACGGCTGCGACTTGCACAACACGGCTACAACTCACACAATTTGCCGATTGATAAAATTATAATACAGTTCCTTCACATGCCCGCCTATCCTGAATTACACATTTGAAGGTTTTCGGATTTTGGATGACACCTGCTGTGTATGTGAGTGACGGTTGAGGCTCGAAATGAAATACCTACACTAATGTACCTTCCCAGGCCAAGAGGCAACCAGCTCCAGTGCCACAAGAAAAAGAACAAATACTGAACGTTGTAGTGTACATTGAACAAGCTGTATTACTGTATCATATATAACCGGACAGCATCTACAAGATCCGGAATTCTGTACAGTAGATCGGGCGTGGGGGCACTTCGAAACATCCGAAACAAGGGCCCATACAGCAAAGGACCGTTGCTATTCAACGGACTGGTGGATTGTTGCTTGTCAGTCGTGGCCAATTTCGATGCTTTCTTTTCGCCTGGCATTGGAACTGTCAATTGAGCATCACAACCAGTTCCGATGTCCTGGCCATTCCAGCACTTCGCAACGTGATGAGTACGGCGAAGTCACAGAGGTTTAATTCAGGTGTACAAAATCGTAACATACCCCCAGAAAATGTCCTCACCGTGCTGTATTTAGACGGAAGTCTTTTCAACTGTTTACTGCAGCCGGCTTTCAACACCTGAAAAAGACAGAATGCCAACCTGAATCATTTGTCGCATTACAATCTCTGATTCATCTGTACAGAAATACCGTTCAGCATCAAATGCACGTCACAGCGTTCAAGAGATGCTTCATTGTGTGGATTTTGCAACTGACCGATGAGACACAAGACAAGACTCGGGGTCGGGCTGGGACCGGGGCATGCCTACCCAGCAGGACGTCGGTGGATTTGTTCAGCCCGCTTTTGCTAGCCAGTTGTGTGGTGCGCACAGTGTCGCCTCACTTGTCCCACAACAACCTTGAACAGACATCAAGCTGCAGCAACATTGAAGTCCCACCACCCCAGACACCACCACTCTGGTTCGTGCGTATTCCCACCACCACACAGAGTCAAGCCTTCAATCAAATTTTCACAAAGCAGCATCATTTCACATGACGGAGAAGCTCTCCTCGAGAAAAGTACAGTACGCTGAATGTATTTTAGCTGAGCAGCGGTGACCAGTTTCTATTCCGCAAAGGACCCTCACAGAGCCACTCTGGCGGGCAGAAAATAATCCAATAAATCAGCCCCCACAAAGGAGTGGATGTGAGACAAGGAGCAGCTGTCCACTGACTCATCGTGAGCTGTTGGTTTGGTTGATGCCTTGCACGAGCACCACAACTTTTGAATGCCGATTTTGCACCAATCCCGCAAAGGTCTCCGAAGCACAACCACACCCCACGCACACATTTCTGCCCAGGCCCAATGTTCTCCACAGAAAGCAGCCTCGTGGTTGATTCGTACAGTAAAATATCATTATCTTCACATCAAGCACCTATATAGCTATTTTAAAAATTGAGAACTGTCAGTGTGTGGAAATTTTTTTATAATAGTTGTGTGAAACTACTCATAGGGTGACTCATTCTTCCCAAGCTCACAATGTTCTTTGTTAATGCAGACAAAACTATGCAATGCAGCAAATATTCACATTGTTTGAAAGTCGTTGGCATGATGCTTCCCCATCCGAAAAGAAATTGTGCGAATTCCCTGCCCCCAATCGTGCGTCATGCTGCGATTAAAGAAACTAGATCGTAACCAGGATCACCTTGGGAAGTTTTTCACAGAGTGTGTGGTAGTGGTGGGCCCTTGACCTCCAATCAGGGTGAATGTAAAATAATTGAGATGATTAAAACACGTAAATACAAGCATATAAATAGTAGTACAAGGGAATATCAATCGTCCTAGCTAGCCATGTACTCTAAGGGGTACATTCCCTTATTCGAATTCAAACCCGATCGTGCGGCGCGTACAGTTACAAAACTGTTCCCGCGCCTTTCCTTCCTTATGCAGCTGCCGATGCAGTTTGATGCGGACGGTGCAGATGCTCTCCAAGTGTTCACGTCGCTTCGAGTCATTTCTGACGCTTCATCTCCAGCCTCGGTACTGTGTGCTTCGCTTGCAGCTGTCAGGAGTGTATAGTGTTCTTTCTTTATTTACCATTCGTAACACCCCCCTTTTCTCCTGACCGTAGCTTGACTTGACTCGCTTGACTACCCCGCTGAGTTCGAAGCAGTGCTGGTACTACTGACGTGGCAGTCGCTTTCAACAGGACTAGGCAAGAATGATGTGCATTGAAAAGGAACAAGAGTACAAGTACTTAACCCTAATGGGTTGTACCCTATATTGTCTACCCCACTACAGCCTACCAACACATTACATATAATCTAACACACCCCCATAGGCAAAGTGGGAGAGAACAAGGGGTCACAAGACCAGTCCAGCAAAGCAAAGCAAGCCCAGGGTGGATCACAACGTCACCACACTCTGAACACAAGCAAAGGCCACAAGGCCAGTTCACATGCAGAGCTATATAAGTATATATAGACCAAGACAAGCAACACAGTGATCACAACCTAGCAAGCAAG